TGGGATCAGATCAAAAGCGTCCGTGTCTGCGCAGCACGCAGTTTGCTTTCACTCTGAATCGAAATTGTGAATTATTGTAAATCACTGAAGAAAGCATATGCAAGCCGTAGATCGGCTGCGTCCGCTGCTCTTGACCTCGCTACAGGTCGCGATCCAAAAGAACGAAGTGCTCGCAGTGCTTTCAGTGGATCATTCAACTGACAAACACCTAAGTCTGGAACCGAGGAAGAACGTGTCAGTAACATTGGACAGATGAACTGATGTTCCCGCAGTCGATCCGAACAGGAACAGGTTGTAGAAGTATCCTCGGCCAATGCTTGGACCCTGCGACTTGGATCCTGGGCTACACTGTCAAAACTCATGCGAAACCGCAACAGATTACCAACGGCTGCCAGCAACCTTCCAAGCGATCCAGGACTTGAAAATGAGCACCCATGGCAGTGCGCAAATTGACGTTTGTCACCTCATGAATGTTCTTTATTCTCTCTTTGTCTCTTTGTTTTTAGATCATCCAGCCAGCAATCATTTGTGCATACTGCAGGCTGCAGCTCGAGCAAAGTCCGAGTAGCAAGTCTGAACCAGGCAAAAACTGCCAGGTAGATGTGGATGCATTCGACCTTAATTAAGTCAAACAAACAACTCATGGATTTTGTCTTACACCAACGACTTACTTGCCACACCTTGCCATGTCATGTCGCACTTGATATGAGCAACACGCCACTAGCATATGGAACAACGCCGTCGGCAAACGCCGCCAGCAGGAAGCCTGACGACTCAAAACAGAACGGATCTCGCTGAAATCGTCCTGCGTGGAATGCCTCATGGCGCGGCGTCGATGATTCCTGACGCAGCACAGGGAACCACGAGGGAATCAAGAGGATGGAGCTGGATGATCGTATGAGTATCTCAGATCGCAAATGCGAGCGGCTCCTCTGACTCGAAATCAAGGCTGTTCATGCTGCTATCAGCGATGCTGCCCAACTTGTTGTTCTGGTTTGTGCATAGCTGCCATAGCTCTTCATCAGGGGGCTGAGCCACGCCATGCCTATGCTCAGCATGCGGAGGCGGAGGACTCAGCGATCTAGGGCTGGCGTATGCAACAGTGCAACAGACTCGTCCAAGCGTGCTCATGCGATGCAGTTGATTCAGCAGAGCCGAGCAGGAGGTTGCTTCTTGACGAGCTGCTTTCCAACTGCCCGGATGCAAAGAAGAGCAAAAGAAGATGGTGGGGCGCGGTGCATAACTGCATGACCAACCACTCGTCACCTGTGGAGATCTTTTCGAAACTTGGGTCTTTTCCAGGGGCCCAAGGAAACCAAATCACATACTCTTTACTTGCTCATGCACTGTATCCTGCCGTATCGCACGAATGAACAGGATCACAAGCTTCCCGAAGGAAACGACACTGGGGTGTGCCTATTTGCACTTTTGGCTCGCAGTCTAATTAATAAATGCACGCCGTGAGGGAGTGTGAGGCGGGGAGCACATTTAAATTTTCATGAGATCTAAGGAGATCGGAGCAAGCCTTGGGTATGCAACAGCAAAGCATCACACCACCTAGTGAAATCAAAACAGCCTCCCTCCCCTTTGACAAGATCAGTCAAGTCCAAGGGCATCAACGCGATCCTTTCTTTGTGGTCACTGCATCTTGCTCTGTTCCAGCATGTCGGTTGGACAGAGCTGGCCAGTGAGTTCAGTGAAACACAGCATGCATTACGTGAGACCTACTGCGCTAAGACAGAAGAGCAACGGCTTGAACATGACAACTACGCAGCCGCGTTGTGATGCAAGAGCGACGCATATGTATGGCTGTATGGGAGGAGACTACAAGATGAGTTAGATTCTGCCACGCTCTCCAACTACCTTCGTCCTAACTAGAAGCTGCCGCACTATGCCAGAAGTGCACCGGCCAGCAGATGTAGACTGATCTGGTTCACGCGTTCAGAACCGTTCAGAGCTCTTCTTGATTGGACCTCTTCCTTAGAGAATCCGGTGGCTGCTGTTTTGGTCATGGGATCTCCTGCCAACGCGCAAGAGATCCCCACAAGTGTGTGGTTGTTGGTTCGGTCTCATGGGATGAAGATGCATAGGGCCACGCACAAAACAACTTCTGAACTTCTTGCCTTCGGCAGGATGTTCGACAAAAATAGGAAACTACACGGAAACTACACGGTTGCTGACTACTCTTGATTTGAGTCTACTGAACGTCTTCATGAAACACTCTATGTTCAGACTCATGGAATGTACCAGCATCCTCGTGCCGCGAGAGCAATGCACAAGAAGATGCGGTCTGCGCAGGAAGGGTATATCACGAAATTGTGCGGACGGCGGACATCTAGTTCCAAACTCCAGAAGCTTGCCGCCGGACAAAACGAAAGCGCAGATTGCAGAGCCAAATCCGAAACGACAACAACCAACAATGGTTTGAATGCGCTAGGACGTGTCCATCTCTGTCTTGTTCTCAACAAGAACCTTTGGCCAACATTCGGCACTTCCCTCATACCCTTTTCCATGTTTCTCGCAATTTGAAATAAGTCTACACGTACATGAAGCAGAAAGCACAGAACAGGAAGCTCTGGAGTCTGCATCTGGCATTTGTAGTCGCCACTCCTATTCCCTTTCTCGTGATCCTTCTTCCTGATCTTCTTCCTGTTTTCCTGGACTCATGTCTTCATGGCTTTTGTGAACAATCTTGAAATCCCTAACGCGAACAAAGCTTGGCATTCTATTGTTGGCCTTCGAACACATATTTTTCGGGAAAGTCTGGATGAGTGAATCATCTGCAGTCTGTGCGCTCTTCTGTATGATGTTCGGTTCAGAAGAGGTGATGCATGACTTTGTCTCGCACTTGACTGTTGGCCGGGGCCCCTCGCAGTGATGTCATGAACGACTTCACAGACTTCAATTCTTGATGCAATGACGGCTTCTACATGTGCTTTGCTAGACGGAATACCCTACACACTTCTGCCTGTGACGATGCCCCTCCATGCCATGAATTTGAACAATCCCTTGAAGTAGCAAAGCCATGCTGCAACTGGAGCCAGCTTATCGACGTGCTTTGGCGAACTCCTGCAGGGTCGGGACTTCCACAAGCCATGCCGCTGTTCGAGTCTAAGGTTGATGTGTTGATGTAGGGCTGTCAGCATGTCTGGCAACACCGAGTCCTGCTGGAAATACTGGTTGGTAGTCATGAAATCCACTTTCTGCAGGTTCGTGTGCCTTAGAACAAGCAGGGGTCATGCACCCACATGCACCCGCAGCTCTTGGACTATGTACATTCGCAAGGGCTCGGGCGGGTCTCGCATGTCGCCAGTGTGCCCGAACAGAACATGCCTTCATCAGCCGCAGCGCATGAAGAAGGATGAGCTGATTCGGAAGCAAGGCATGAACTTGGGGCATAGAAATGAACAGAACGAATCAGGCTGGGATGCTATTCTCAAGCCATCTCTTGCACACTTTTGCTCGCTGCAAAAGGCCACCAACACCGAGTGAACCACTATGTGGAACTACGAGTACGAGTGAATGATCTGGCGTGTGGGAGGCTTGGCATTTCTGCGCATGGCCTTTTTCTTTCTTTTTCTTGGGCTTCTTCCAATCGCAGTGCTTTGTGTTTGGCGATTCCAAAACAACGGCGCATTCTGAATGCCCATGCTGACGTGGCTGGAGGCCGTTGCGCTGGGGCCGCCCCTGCTCTCCGCACTGATGGTGTGCTGCCATAGCCACCAAGATTGTGCATTACAAGCGTGAACCTTTCGCTGACCAACATGCGATGCTCCCTCAGAGTGTGCGTGTGTGATTCTTTCAGGACATCGTGGGGTGAAGTGAAGACAATGTCATTTTGCTTCCGTGTATAATGAAGTGATGCTCAACACACGCATTTTCCAAATCTTGTCAAGTTCCCGCCTGTCCAATCCTGGTGAAGGATTCTCGGCCTGGAGCCAGTGCACAGCAGTTCATCAGAAGCGCATGCATGCACATGCCGTCCGTGCATGGAAGATGTGCGAGGCTCCACCCTGCAAGCCTTCCCGGTAGAAGGAGTCTTCCTGAACGCAGTAACTGGTGAAACCTACTCAAGCACTCCAGCACCAACAGCAATGAGGCTCCAGCCAGTTGTGAACCGTGTGGGAAACGCTCATCTTGGGACCATCGTCAACCCTGCAGTTGCCCGAGCCCATCTACAATACTGTCTGTGCTGTTCCATAGAGTGTGGCATCTTGTGCAGAAACTGCTTGTGTTGCATCGAGTAACTTTGGCTTGTTTTGCAGGTCATCACCAAATCGGTCCTGCAACTGTGTGGTGTGAAGTTGGTATGGAAGCTGAAATTGGATTCATGCAAGCAATCTGCAAAGAGTTGCCTCGTTGAAGTTGTACATCAGAACGCCTCTACTGTAGCTCATGACCTCGTCGCTGAGTTCTGAGAGTCGGGTGCTACTTCAGCAACCATATGGCCATATGGGAAGATGCTACTGCTTTCAGGGCAGAGGAGCGAGGAAAAAAAATCAGAGGAATCATATGCATCCTACGTAGTCGAGCACCAGCTTTGCAGGCATCCTGACTGTCATGACTTGGCCCAACGAAGATTGCATTGTTTCCATCCCTTCTGTCCATTCTGTCCATTCTGTCCAGGCCACTGGGAAGGTAGCCAGATGTAGGCTTGAAGCTGCTTGAGGCTGCCGAAGCTGCTAAATGCATGCGCTGATTCGGGCCAGCTTCTGCAGCATGTGAGGTATCCTCGGCGAGCCCGATCAATGCCAATCTGTGGACTGTATACATCCCGTCCATGAGCGCGCAATGGTGGAAGTCTCCAGACATGCCCCTTTCTTGACTTTTTTGCATGCTGCAAGCAATGGTTCCGCTGCGCAAAGCTTGCTGCAACCAAAGCAATAGTGCTGCAGTCGGGCCCCTACGTTCGGAACAAGGTGATGCATGCTCAAAACCTTTTGCTAGACCGCTAGAACCTGCTATACATTGCATGGGCCACTTAAGGAAGGCTGCCAGCATTGTGAGGGTTTGCAAGATAAGCCGTAGTGATGTCAGTACTCATCTCGCAAGCGCTTGGGACTTCTCGAGGACAAGGCAGTGTCAAAGCTTGCTCCTGCTGCCTGCACTGCACTGCGCTTAACGGTCTGAACATGATGGCATGAACTATCCAACCGCGTGACCGCGTGCACCTGTCAAGCTTTCCAAGCAGGCGAGCACCTCCTGCAACTTTGTTCAGCTTGCTGGTATTGCCTAGTACTGCGGCCCAGAGGTCGGTCCTCTTTTGTCTGGCTTCTCACCTCAAGTCACTCTGGCACAGGCACTGGCATTGCGTGCTCATGCCACGCGTATGATTCCACTACGGGCGTAAGCATGCAGCAGCCAGAGTCAGGGGAGGCGATGCTGACCTGCAACGTTTTAGGTCACAACCGGCACAAGTATCCGATGAAGACGAACAAGGGCGCAATCACACCTCTTTTGAAGGGCTTCATCCGTTTCCCGTACCACCTGTTGCAGTACTGCCGCAGTTATTGCAAGTCAGTGAACGGTGCTAACTTCACTTGTGCAGTTGGGGCAGGTGGCTTCGTGAGTTTCTACACGAGCAGGTGCTGTGAAGATTTGCTGGCCTTGAACCCCTTGGAGATCAAAAAATTTGCCTGAGCTTGCAAGTTGGCTATCTGAACGCAATGAGGCTTTGCAAGTTCAGGCTGCCATCGGGAAAGCCACGAAGGGATCAACCGACCTCGGACATTCAAGACAAATTCACAACAATGTTTTGCATAGGCAAAACATCTAAATTTTAAAGACCTGGCTCTTGTGTGGCCATGTAAGGGTCGTAATTCATATGAATGCAACGACAAGCAAGAAAAGCTTGGGGTGCATAGTCCGGAAACAAGCGCAAATGCGTACTGTAGACTCATTTTCTTGCTTAGAAGGGAATTTCGTGAAGGAGATTTTTTTATTGTCCCAAGGAGAGCCTGTTACTGTTACTCTCTCTTGGTAAGTTTTTTGTTGTATTCCCACCCCCCCCCCCCCCCCCCCCCCCCCACACCCTTCCCCGCCCCACCCTCCCCAAAGTCTCAATTCCCATGACCCAGGCCTGAGACCCCAGCCAACAAGCTTGCGAGCCCTGAGGCCGATTCAAACTCTTAACGCTCTTGGATTTAGGACTTTTTCGGGTTCCACAGGTGCGTCTTTGTGCCGAGCTCGAGTATGGAGGTGCGGGAGGGTGGTTTTGAGTGATGAAATTGGGATCCCCTTTCGAACATTGGGGTGAAAAAACAACGGGCAAAACTAGATGTGGTGGCCTAACGAGCCGATCGTTCGACGAACCCAAGAAAAGGTTCGACGAAGGTCGGCGAACCATGTTGGGGTTCGATGGGGTTCGGCAAAAAACTAGCACCAGACTGTTGTCGGATATCATCATCATGATCATCATCCTCATCATCATCATTTTCATCACCTCTTTTTTTTGAGGGGGGGGGTTGTGTTGTGGGGGTGGGGGTGGTGGGGGAGGGTCAGGCGGTTCTGTGTATTTCCATAGGAAAAACTACATCTTGTCAATATTTCCGTAGGAAACTCTTATTTTCGCTATTCTCACATAGAAACCCATGATTATCTCTACATTTACAAGGGTCTATTTGGTGTATATTTACATAGGACAACAAACCTCCATTTTCTCTATATGTCCATAGCAAGACATTTATTTTGTCTACATGCACAAAAAGATTCGCACGGCTTTGAAAAAGCGGGGGGAACAGGGTGGCGCGACCCTCAACCCTAAACCCTAAACCAGGGAGTGTAGGGGGCCGTCGTTGGTGTATCCAAGGGGCTTTGGGGGTAGCGTCGAGGGTTTTAGGAGTTGAGGGTTTTAGGCTCTGGGGTTGAGGGTTCGAATTCGGGGGGTTAGGGTCTCTCGAGTTGAGGTTTACAGCCGATTCTTTTCAATTTCGGTTCTAACTCCCCCACCCCCCTGTCATTTCGGTTCTAACATCGGCCCCCACCCCCCTTGTCAGGGTTGCAGCCAGAACTTTTCAGTTTCGCAGAACTGCAGCCGAATCTTTTCAGTTTCGGTTTTAAGAAAGGCCCCTCACCCCCCCCCCCCCCCCCCCGCCCCTCAACCTTGTCAGGTCTAACATAGGCCCCTGCCCCCCCCCCCCCCCCCCCCCCTTCACCCCCTCCCTGTCAGGGTCACAGCCGAATGTGTTCAGTTTCGGTTCTCGCATAGGTTACAGCCAAATCTTGCCAGTTTCGGTTCTAACATATGCCCCCTTACCCCCTCCCCCCTCAACCGGGAGATCCGAATCTTTTCAGGAACATAGGCCACCCCCTCAGCGTCAGGGTAGAGCGGTTTAGTCCGTACTGAAGAGGCTGTTAAGAAGTTCACTTGCTTGACCCCAGGTAACCCTCATCTCTAAGAAACCTCGAGTCCAACAAATACTAAAGAAACACCATCCCAACAGCATTCTCAACGTCCCATGTAAACGATGACGTGGGGTGGTCGGTATTTTTGTTTCTGTGTCTTTTTTGGGGGGGTGGGGGGTTTGTGTTGTGTGGGTGGGGGGCTAAAAAAACTCATTATTCTTTGAAGCAAGCTTGCGCGGCTTAAAAAAAGTGGGGTGCCGGGGGGGGGGGGGGGCACAGCCCCCCCCCCCCATTTGCAAACACAATGACCACACGATGGGTTGGAAAAAGAAATGATCGCAGGATGGGTTTTAAAAAGACTCATATTAATATGCTTTGAAGCAAGCTTGCACGGCTTACAAAAAGCGGGCCCCCCCCCCAATTTGCACACACAATGATCGCATGATGGCTTTTAAAAAAAGAGATTCATCTGATTTGAGGCAAGCTTGCACGGCTAAATAAGGCGGGAGGGTTTTAGAGGGGGGGCGCAGCCCCCCCCCCCCCCACCCCACCCCATTTGCAAACACAATGATCGCACGATGGGCTTCAAGACGACTCATATGCTTTGAGGCAAGCTTGCACGGCTTAAAGAAGCGGGGGGTTGGGGGGGGGCGCAGCCCCCCCCATTTGCAAACACAATGATCGCATGATGGGTTAAAAAAACTTCATACGCTTTGAGCAAGCTTGCAGGCTTAAAAGGTGGGGGGGGGGGGGTTGGGGGGGTTGGGGGGGTTGGGGGTTGCGGGGGTTGGGGGGGGTTTTGGGGGGGTTGGGGGGGTTGGGTGGGGGGGTGGGTGGGGGGGTTGGGGGGGTGGGGGGTTGGGGGGGTTGGGGGGGGGGGGGGTTGGGGGGGTTGGGGGGGTTGGGGGGGTTGGGGGGGTTGGGGGGGGTTGGGGGGGTTGGGGGGGTTGGGGGGGTTGGGGGGGTTGGGGGGGTTGGGGGGTTGGGGGGGTTGGGGGGGTTGGGGGGGTTGGGGGGGTTGGGGGGGTTGGGGGGGGGGGCAGCGCCCCCCATTTGCAAACACCATGATCGCATGATGGGTAAACTGGTAAACAAAAATCATCTGATTTGCAGCAAGCTTGCACGGCTTAAATATGCTTTGAAGCAAGCTTGCACGGCTTTAAAAAAGTATCGATGGTGAATCGATGGTCTTCCTACAATGTTTACAGAATTTGAGATGCAAGATGCTTGGCCAAAAGGTTTTCGATGCTCGGCGGAGGGTTTTTCGATGCTGGGCGGCAGGTGTTCGATGCTCGGCAGAAGGGTTTTTCGTTGCTCGCCGGAAGGGAATGGTTGCCGCCGGACCTGGATGGATGCTGGCGGGCCGTTTACGTTTTTATCTTTCGTTGTCCGCCGGTAGTTTTTCGTCGTTCGCCGGTACCCACCCCCCCCCCCCTCCTTCGGTTGTCCAACCCCAACCCCCCCGGACAACCTGGTGGTCGGCACGAGCAGTCCCAGTATCTTCCCTAGACCCCCCAACCAGCTGTGACTGTATCACACATTTGGACAGCGCCTAGAAAGTCACGAGTTCGTGGAGATTGAGGCAGCCACACCGAGATTTCAGTTTGCTGGTCAGCACGTAGGTATGTCACAAGGTACCTCTCGACTGGCAGGCTCACCACGCGATTCTTCTTGAGCATCGCACAAATGAAGTGACCCCCCCCCAAGCGATATCCTCCCGAACAACCCTATGAGTGGCTTCTCCGCAAATAATATCAGCACCTATACCTGCAATGCACATGGGCAAGAAGCAATTTCCTCGTTTGGGGCACGGCAGCAAGAGATCATACCTTGCGTGTACACCAACCAGAGCTAGTCAGCGTCAATCACCCAACTTCAATACATGCTCCGCCCATGAAATCTGCGCATGCGCTGCCCCTGAGTTCGCAGCACATAGTTACTGTGCGGCGCATTGGAGCCACTCTGCAATCTGCCAATGCGTTGGGGTGTTGGGCAGAGCTCGAACTACCAGCTTTGCTCACTGCAACCAGACCAATGCAAACACTGATCCAGGCATGACATGAAAGACTGCACGCATGAGATGCAGAATCTTGGGAGCACAACCCAGTCGTTCCTGCCAAGCTCTGACAACCCAATCCAATCCGACAAGACTCTGGCAAGATGTGGCAAGCCTGCTATTCGTTATTGCTTGTCCAACTTGTTGTCAGCCCTGCCTTGATCTGCCTGCCAAAGCCGTTTCCTATCTTGGAAGTCTTAGTCCCCCCGAAGAAAATATCGACCATTCGACCATGAGCCACGTGAATCCCAGTAAAGGTGGACAGAATTCATTTCAGACAGCTCGTGAACTGCCTCACACATACAGGCAACGTGTAATCTCGATCATGCGATGTTTCGAAATCTGAAAGACAAAATCAGACCAACGGCTCGAGCATGTAGAGCTGAGAGAAGATTCCGTGCATGCTTTGTTCTCAGCATGGTCGATGCCATCACATCACTCACAGATTTTGACAGCTGAAAGGTAGCACACTCGTAAAGGCCATACTATCTGGCACATACCTTATTCTCCATGGGCCTAGGGGCAAGAAAGGACTGTGAAAGGAATAGTACCGGCTTGCAGGCTCTCAGATACAGCTCTGAGATGGTCTTCTCTGCACCAGCATGTCTCGCTGCCTGGGGACTCGAAGTAGAAGAGTCGGCAGCTGAGACGAATTCCAGCCTCAGAGTCCCAAGCTGCAAAGCTCTCAGGAAATTGGTTGCGTACACCTAGCCTTGCACATCTTCTGCGACTGACTTGGCCACCTGCTGAGTCAGCTGTTGACAACGAGCATTGGAACATGTTGCAACGGCCCAGAAGGCCCAGAAGTTGCCAGAAATGCAACAGACAAGCTCTTGCCTCAGTGTGAGCGCGCTTGAGCAAATCTTGCACCAGGCCAGTAGCCATGGGTATTGAGTATGGATGCTGGGCTAATCGTTGCACATGCTTTGCGGGTGGAGCACGTTTGCACATACATTCCCACCCACGCACATGCTTGCACGAAGACTCGAGACGGAAGCTGGCAAAGCACATGCAAGGTGTCGTGGACGGTGAAGAGCACTGATGTGCACTGAACTTAAGCTGATGAAGCAGCGAACCTTGTAAGGCATTGCACACAGCCAGCAGTAAATTGGCAGGATGTCAGCTACTTTTTTGGAATGATCAACCCTCCTCTCGTCCAGCAGTGTCGCTTGGACAGTGCTGACTGGACTCGTCACTCGTCGTATCGACGGTGAAACTACTCTCGTATACTTTCGTGAAACATTAACATGAACTGGCAGCCCTTGCCAGATTGCTGAGGAGTGCGTTGTGCTGCAAACAGACGAATCGCACTGTCCAGCATGAGAATGGCCGTCGTTACTCTTGTTTCACTCCGGTCAGCATGTCCTGCAACCTTAGCTCCAAACATGTGTGAATGGCTGACATTCGACATGGGCACCGTCCTACTTGGTGTGGTGGACCAAACCTCGCAACCCTTGCAATCCAAATCAGGAAATGGTTTCTTCACACCGAGTTACGAGGACACCTCATGCCTTGCAAGCTGTTCAAACGCTGCGTTGCTGCAACTGCCAGTGCCATCTTTGTCTAAATAAGCGAAGACTTGCGTAACTGAACCAAAATAGCCCACTGTTTCCCAGGCTTCTTGCCATTCTTCCAGCGTCATCGTGACAGTGCCGTCGCTGAGGGCAGCCCAAGCGTTTGGCAAATCACCAAAGAGGCGCCGACAAAACAGGACCGTCTCCCGGATGCAAAATTGCAGATCCTCGCAGGGAAAACTTCACTAGCAGCCACTCGTGTGCTGACAGTTACCAAGGTTACTAAAGCTTACTAAGGCTTTACCATGCCGTTATCAGGTCTGCTAAGTTTGCAAACTTGGAAGCCGGCGTGATTCCCCTACCAGCATTACGACTACCACTACCATTCCAGTTTGTGCTGAGACTCCTCAATCCCATAGGATTTCCGACTAGCTCGAGCTTAGGTTACGGTGACTTAGTTATTCGGCAACTCACGATCGGGTAAAGACCCCACAGCCCCACAGCCCACATGTCCATTGTTTTCGCCTGTGAAGAGCAGTGGTGCGTGTCGACTGATGGTGTTTCGGACAGTTTCAGTGTGTGTGTGGGGGGCGGATCGGTGCGACTCTGCGTGATGGTTTTGTACGGTGGCGGGGATCGGCGGGGGTGTCAGCTCGGTGTGTGACGATTCCCACAAGGCACGCAAAAAGTATGTAGGGAGAAACGTGCGCGCTCAAAGTTTGGTATTTCAAAACCATTGCATCTTTGTTGCTGTGCTGTTGATGCCCACGTTGCTTCTCTGCGATGCCCGTTCTGCTACGGTAGTTTGTAATCTGGAGTAGGATCGATCATGCCGAATGGAGTTGGGCAGTGGCGCGCGCGTAGAGCGGAAATACGGACGCAGGTCCAAGAGATGCGCACTTCAGAGGTTGAACTTCTATGTTTGCTTTGCATCAATGAGTCTTTCCTTCTACGTGGTTTTTGACCACTTTTGCGCGAGCAGAAACAGACAAGGGCGTTGGCCAACAGCCGAGCCCCTTCTCCATGGAGCACTCTTTCCCCCGCCTCATCCCCTGCCCCCTCCTGCTGGATGTAGATCCAGGTTTCGTTAATGCACCTCGATGCATGCCCGAAGGCAAAAAATTCGAAGCTTTGCGCCATCTGGGAAGAGGATACTCGGGCTCATTTATGAGTCCATGGATGAAGAGCAAGAGACTCTTCTTCATGAAAGTTTTGGCTCCCAAAGATCCAGCCATCTTATCTTCGTGACTGTTCGTGTCATCAAGGACAGCGGAATCGACAACTAATGATTTGTTTCTTCGGTCTGTCGCAGGCTGACGACCCGCTCTGCGGAATGACTGGCCACTGCCAAGCGAGAATATGATCGACTTCGTCGCTGGAAAGGTTTGGCCAGCCTCAAGATCCGCGCGATTCGTCTAACAAAGAAAGAGATCTTCTTCAGCGGATGGCTGTGCAAGAGTCTACGAAAGATCTTAATATTAATATACTGAGTAATTGTCACTGATCTGGTGACGAAGGTCTGTAGCCTCGTGATCTACAAGGAAGCTCTGGTGGGGTCGCTGGCCTTGGTTCAACAAACGTGCAGCCCAACCGCCAGATCCCCCAAAGGCGCGAAACCACGGCCACAGCGAGGTTTTGGAGTAATGCGACATTGCGACGTGTAGTGTCGTTGCGTGTGGTCAAAGTAGGTGTCGATGAGTGCTGCAGGTGAGCTTTGTTACTTATTCGACGAGGAAAATAAAGGAAATGCATTTACCTTCCGCGGAACCCTTCCACGGACCTCCGCGCCCGATACTAGGGCTTGTCACACAACTTGGGGTGTGGCCGACAGCCGCATCAGATTCAAACACATCCCCACTTCAGGCATTCAGTACTTTTTTGGGCTATTCTCCCTTGCAGAATTCTCGCCTATGCTTTATACCAAGTTAAGCACAGCTCAGCGGTGGGGTCATGAGACTGCCGTACTTGACATGAAATGACAGTCCGAAGTGTCCTGCTCCACGTATTGCAGGGCCTCCCAGTCCTTCGTTGAAATCTTTCCTTCGGAACGCACATCAATGAAGCGAAATACAGACTGGAAACGCTGTTGCTCGCCTGGTCCCTTGAATCTTACAAATCCCATTCGTTTGCATCCATCTTCAAATTCACGGCTGCTCATCTGTCCGTCAACATCCTTGTCTTGCCGCATCTGCGTCAATGCATTGGAAAGCCCTCCGCAGGTGGCTATCATCCAGGTTAAGAGCACAAGAACATCGGGAGGCAACTTGCTGGGGAGACTGAAGAAGAAAACGCTTTCTTCTCCAACATCAGACATGTTCCAGCTTCCGTTCTGTTCTAGAAGGTCTTTTCTGACCTTGAAGTTGCGCTGGTCTGCTCGACAGATGTACTCTGCCTCGAAGACTCCATGCTTCGGGACGTTTGACATCTGCTCCCAAGACTTGGGAACGCCGAGCGTGAGTGGGTCCACCGTGCCCTCTCCAGAAGTGAATACTGGATCCTTTAGGTTGGATGGACTCTCCTTCCCGGATAACTTCAGAAGAGAACTGATCAAAAGCCGCTCGTCGTAATTCTTGAAGCTTAAGTGGATGTGCAGCTGCTCCGGCTGCACGTAGGGGAAGCTTGCTGCATATCCTAGCCGGCGCAACATAGAAGGAGCTGCATCTTCATCAAGTCTCATCCTCACAAGCTTCTCAAGCTGGATATCCACGACACGATTGTAGAATAAAGTGTAGGCATCGCAACGAGACATCGGGTCCTTGAACACATCAACAATTTGACGCAGCTGTACGCATGTCACATAGAGCGTGTGGGAAATCTGCAATAGAGCTTGGAACCGGCAGCGAGCAGGGGATCGTGCAAACTGAAGCAAAGCAGCCATCAACAACTCAAACTCCGAATCCTTCACCGGCTCGGCACCAACTTTTGGCCTCTGAGAGCTGCTGTAGTCCAGCTCGAGGACATCGCTCTCAGCAAGAATCCAATCAGTGAGGCTACACGGAAGGGGGCAGTTTGCATGTTGAATATTCCGCCCATGAGAGTTGTTGCCCAGCTGTGACGTATCTATTCCACCTTCGCGGCTGCGCAGAATTCCTTCCCAATTGTCTAGGATTGCCAAGCTATCAGCAATGCCATAGTCGACTGGGTTGGACATGTCCAAAGTGTAGCGGCCAGTTGGATTGTCAGCATTGAATGAGAATTGGCGCGCTGACCTCTGAAGCATTCTGACATAGTCGCAGGAGTTGGGAATGAGGCGATTTCCCAAATAGGCTTGCAATGGGCTCTCCAATGGTGTACACTGAAGGCACGCCATTACATCCCAAATTTGCGCGCGGTCTTGACACATCACCGCCATTTGAGCAAAGCTGAGACGGAAGTCTTTGGATAGAGCATCGATCATGATGCTCTGCTCTTCACGCATACCTTCCATCCGCCTCCACTGAGACAGGAGTGCAACCTGCTTTGAGCGTCCGGGCAGGATCCGCAACAAATGGGCATGGCATGTCAGAACCGAACTGAAATCCAAGGAGTCTGAACTGCCCTTTGCAGAGGCAGCTCTGTCCTCCAAAACTTTGTCCATTGTAAAAGTGAGCTCGAGAGACCCAGCTTGAGGCATCTGATAGATTCCATTTGCATTCTTGGAGGCATGGCTGTAGGCCGGTGAAGCTGTCATATCACGGAAAGTTTGGTCGAAGGCAACATTTAGCCGCTCTGCTGTCTTGTACAGCATGCGAAGCAAGGTACGATGATAAGGCTGTGCTAAATCAAACTTGTAACGCCCATGGGGTCGAGAAGCGCGGAAGATTTGCGTGTCTGTCCGAGCTCCAACGACGGTTCCTTTGCTGCAGTTCTCGAAATGAAAGTACTGCAAGCCTGATGTTTTTCTGGCAAGCAGGCGCAACAGACAGCGAATACCCAAACTGCCGAGACCGTTGTGTGATACATCCATTTCTTGAAGAACCGTGTTATACTCCAGAGAATCCTCAAGGAGAAGTGCTGAGCGAAAATCCAAGTAATTCCCCGAGATGTTCAAGTGTTGAAGGGATGTATTCTCACTGAGATGCTCCAGCAAGTACACCATGGAGGAGCTCCAAGGTGACTTCTTGGACAATGTGGAGCAGTTTGCCAGCTCCAGTTTTTCTAAAGTACCTAGCTCAATCAGCTTCTGCCCCAAGAAGTCGAATCCAAGAGCACCAAAGCAGTTCCAGCTAAGGTCAAGATGTACGATGCTTCTGCTACTTAGTAGTTCCACAATGCACACCATCGTATTGTCGTCCTCGTCGCTTGAGGATCTGGTTCCAAGCCCCGTATCCGCCAAGGAGAGTGTCTTAAGGGAACTGTGCTCGCGAATGGCCTTGCAAAGCGGAACCTGCCAATTGACGCCAATCGCCAAGCCCGCCAGGTTCAGGCTCTGCAAGTTATGCATACTGGCAGAGCTCAGCAACTGAATCAGACCTGCAAAGGGCTCATCCTGCACAAGGTTGGGACATCCGGCTAGGCTCATCTTCTGCAGATTGCGGTTGCGTGGTCTTTGACCTTCCGCGGCCGTGTGGGAGTCTGCAAAGAAAGTGAAGAGGTGCAAAAAGGCCTTTTCCGAAATGGAAGCATTGCCTTCCAAGTCCAACTCTCGCACTTGCGATCCTGTTTCAAGCATTTCGCAGATCGCCAGAAGGTCTCGATCTGACAGGCCCTGGGCCTTGGCGTTGATGCAGTCAGAGTGGCCTGTTACAAAAGGATCTGTGGAGGGCAAGAGCCCCTTCCGATTGCAGGCACTGAGGTACTGCTTCGTGGACAGTGACTGGTTTGCTAACTGGCTGCTCTGCCATGGACGTTGGAACTTGCCTTTGTGGAGAAGGGCAGCCTCTTTCGCACTGTCTTGGATGCTTGGCAGCAAAGTTGTTGGCGATGCTGTGGCACTGTCAGGAAGTAGCTTTGGAAAGATATCTCCCTTCTCTTTCACAAAACTTCTCAGCCCACAAACATCTTTTGAAATGGTCTGCTTCGGGTCTTTGCTAATCTTGGAAGTTGAAGCCGACCGCCCCATAGCATCCTTGACCGTGCTAAGCGGCGTCTCTTTTGCGGCGGGTAGATCTGGTAGCCAATTCCATGAACCTGCAGAACAATGGCTGCGTGCACCTCGCGTCTTCCATTCAAGATCCTTGAGACTTTTTGATGCCTTGTCCAGGGGACTGGGCACCAGCGGTGGCAAGACGATATCACTTGAAGTGAAGCTCTTGACATCCAACGGATGGCCCAGGCGTGAAGAGTTGTGGAACTGAGGCCAGAAGTCCCTCAAACGACTATGGCGATTGGATGTTGTTTCCGCTTGCTTCCTGGCCTCTTTTCTGTCGACTGTTTCCTGGATGTTCTTCTGAAGAAGGTGCAGGCTCACTCTGGTCCTCAGCAGTCTGGCAGCACGCAGGATCCTGTACACCTCCCGCGCAACCTGCCAGCTGGGGGATGCCGCACGATCAGCGCTGTTGTTAGCACGCAGAATGTGCACCATCTTCCAGATGAGCTGTTCGCGGACCAGCGCCTGATCGGCAGTGGCTTGCGCCGCATAGTCAGACGCCAAGATGCGCCGAACGAAGGACAGTGGGTCGGCGCTGAAGGTAGCCACAGACTCATCATCTCGCAGTAGCCCCCGACGAGCCACTTCACGGAACATGTAGTCGATGAACGGACCATCGTCATGCCTTGCCTTCTCTGGTTGCTGCTTTGCACACACTGCGTTGACCAAGCGGCTTCGCCGTCCCATGACCCAAGTGCGCAGAGAGCACCATCACTCGCCTAGACATCCTCATGCTTGTGCCGAGAAGGAGTCAGCAAGCAATCACCATCGAGCAGATTCGAGCAGTGTGCAAGGTGTGCAAAGTGCGCAACTGCGGAATTCAATCACACAATATCACACGGCCGAAGCTACGAATCCAATAGCATCAGGAGGCAATGCATACTCTGCTGGCTGAAGCATGAGATCTGCCTATCGTGTCCCGGCTCTGCAAATGAAACCGTTCAAGTGCATGTATCAAATTTTGCCAGGCGGTCACTTTATGATGAAAACGTGAGACACACTCAATTCACAGCATCGGCCGGCTAGAGGTCATCTTCTCATAGATCCAGGCCTGCCGACTACTACGACGACTCCAGCAACCGCTATGAAGAAAGCTACCACCTCTAATGGCGTGGTGGACACTTGCCCCAGACCTCTTCATTCGTGGACCCCCGCGGCCAACCATTCGACCGCCGCGAAGTGCATCTCGCGACCCACTTCTAGTGGACTCCTGACACATGCATTGACACTTTGCTCTGCGACCGTCACGGTGCGAGCGCGTGATGCTGGCGCTTTCTCTTGATGAACAGAAAGCGTTTTCAGCAAGACACCGGCCGCCATTTTTCATATTGCGTGAATGTGCAGGTCAGAATGTGGTGTCGTGATTGTGCAGGAAGAGGGATAGCCACTTGTAGGAGCAAGTGGGGACCATTCATGTAGTGGACCTCATCTCAGCTATTTTTTATACTTTGTAGATCTGAGAGATCTCAAAAGCTACAAGGAGAGCAGCATTCTTGCCACAGCTGAAGGCGCAAACAATCTCCAATGATAGAATGTTCCGACTCGACCAGCATCCTGCCTGCCGTCTGACTAAGCTGGTGGTGACCTGTGCAAGGACTCGGGCAAGGATGTAGTTTTCGTTTGGGAGTTCAGAAATCTGGCGCGGGGTGCAGGTGCCTGTGCAGAGTAAGTTGAAAAAGCCGCTGCTTTGGAACATACCTGGCCGGCGCTGGTGTCATTTAAGCAAGACGAGCGGCCAAGGTGAAGCCATCTGCAGCCAAAACATATCAAAACATTGTCAAGCTGACACCATATTGGAGTATTCGGTTCTCCCACGCCAGCGCGAGTTGACCTGCGAAGTGAACGAAACCACTTCTTCCCCGCGGCATGTATCCAACACCTCGGATTCTGTAGGGCCCAAGCATAGTAGTTTTGCAACGAAGCATATCCTGGTCCACTGGCCTGGCGAAGCAAGCATGTTGCTCCAGTCTTTCCCGACGCTAGAGCCGTGCCTCTTCTAGCCATGCTACGAGTACGGCCAGTATCGGGTCGGGCAGTACTGGTGGTGCGAGCTCCTGTGCAAAGTCTGCTAGCATCAACTGGTGACAGATGGTGACAGTGCACGGGGAAATCAGTGGCAGACGCGCACTTGTGTCGTGCGATTGTCGCCTGTGACTGCACCTTGCTGTGCGCCATAGTGGCCATAGTGGCCTCTTGCCACTTGTTTACGAGCTGCTGTGCATATCATGTTGCATATGAATACAGTAATCCGCAGAGAGACTGAAACCAAATTCCAAGAATGAGTGCGCCATCAGATTGCCTCGCAAAGAGTTGAAACCATGAGCTGGGTCATTGAGTTTCGGTATGCGTATCTGACAAACATCAGTGTCTTCCAGAGCCATCCTCAGACAGAATGAGCTGCGCATCCACCAGTGGATCGCCTGAAAGCCCGCTGTCAACAAATTGGAAAGCTGCATAGTACTGCATAGCGAAGGCAAAGATATCCGCCGAGGCCTTCGGCCGTAGGTGTCTGGGTAGCACAAAGCAGGCACCCCACCTCTGATCGACAGCACCCCCTCTCCCCCCCCCTCCCCACCCCCCCTCCCCACCCCCCCTACCCCCCTCCCCCCCCCCCTCCCACCCCCCCCCCTCCCCACCCCCCCCCCCCCCCCCCCCCCTCCCCACCCCCCTCCCCACCCCCCCCCACCCACCCACCCTCCCGCCCCCACCGCCCCCACTCACAGCCTTCCACCTCCATTCACCTCCGGCCCACCCCTCCCCCACCACACCTGCCCCCAGCCCGCTTGTTGGGGTTGCCTTGTTACAGAGTTAAAAATTCTTCAGATTTCAGACGAGGCAGATCATGATGTCGATCATCATAGCAACGTGTTTCGGGCGTCAGAGTTGATGTCAATGTCAGCGCGCCTGCCTTCAATCAATATCGGCAAAACCAGATCTTCGCTTCCACCTTCTCCCCAAACTTCTACAAGCACCTGCAGTTAGGCTGGCAGGTGCAGGATAGCAACGGCCAGCAGTTAGCTTACCAGTGCCTGTAACCTTCTGTAAACCTTGTGTACAACAAAGGTGTCAAAGCCTCGTCCAGCTGTAGGACCGCCTTCGAGCACAGACCAGCTTCGGTCAATGCCCTCAAGGCCGCCTTTGGCACAGTCGCTGTCAGTAACGCAAATTGTTGCACACGCCAAAATGGGTGCAAGCGTGTGCTCAAGCCACAGCGCAAACAAAACACGGTGCGGGACAAAAAACGGACAAGGATGGGCAAGGCCGAAGCATGCCCAGAGCAAACGAGAGTGGCCGCACGCCGTTGCAGCACAGCATGGCGGGGTGACGAGCGAATAAGATGCACCCATGAGTCGTTAAATCAAGAGTTGAATCGTGAGAGGGCCAGTCAGCAAACAGCCAGGCGCACACATCAACATCCATGTAGGGCACTTGTACGGCATTGCACCACAGCATGGCATTTATCGTAAATTGGCCTATCCTCGTCAGGTCTTCTCAGCAATGCATGCAATGCTGAAGTTAAGGTGCCGCGGTGACCCTTTCTAGTTTAGGTTTGGTTCAGCTTAGTTCGTGTTAGGTTAGAATAGGGTATGGTTAGGATAAGCTTCGGTTCGGTTCGGCTACGCTAGGTTTAGGGTATGTGACGGAGGGCGCACGCACCCGAAGTGAAACAACGGGCGACTATTTGGATGGAATGAGGACTGCGGAACTGGGCCCTCAGGGGCGCCCTGGCTTCCCCACCTCTAATACTCGTAATGAGTCCCTCGGCCCGACCTGCCAGGGGATTGGCGTGAGAGTCCCGTTTTGGGGCCTGCTGCCCTTTGTGGAGTGGGGCAGGTGTCGTTGTGCTTGAGGGTATAGAGCTGAAGCTTGTTTGGGTTTTCATGGAGGTCGCGTTGAAAGCATGAAACGTCACAGTGTCAGTTGGAACTTTGGAGCTTGAAAGATTGAACGTTTGAACAATCAAGGACGCCGACGGGCCTGAGTTCGAAATATTGCAGGAGTTTGGGTTTGAAGGTTTCAAACGGAAAGGTGCTCGAAAAATTCGGGATAAACGCAGCGTACACATGTGGGATGTAGCATAGCAAACATTGCGAGCCGCTTTGGAGTTGGAAAGGTTGAAGGGCGCGCCAAGTTTGGATCTTGAACAATTTACGAGCTCGAACGATTGAAAGATTGAAAGTTTGAGAGTTTGAACTTCACACGCCGGGTCAGGAGTCTGAGAGATTGAAAACACACAAGTTTGAAGGTTAGAACCTCGAAGTTTCAAGTCTGGACGACAGTCGTTGTCGAGAGTTCGATATCTTGCACGCTTCAGAAATGGAAAGATTGAACGTTTGAAAGCTTGACAGCGATGTTATAGTTAGCACCAACCTGATGCTCCCTTTACTCCCTCAAGGTCCCGTCGTTTGCAGAGGGTCGCCATGAGTCCCTCCAACTTGTGTCTCACAAAGAGTTCGTTGTCGAGTTTTGATGACAAACAACGAGGGGGCTGGCTGCATTTCAGGATTTCGGGATCGGACTGCCTAAGGGCCGTAGGGGTTGACGGGCTTGGGTTTGGGCATGTAGGCTGGAGGCAGACGGAGAGCGTAAGCAGATTAACTGGGGAATGAAAGAAGAGCCTCTTGACAAGGTGTGGCGTGCCTCGCCTCTCCTGCTGCTCTGATGATGACTCCAAGCAGCACCGGCGGAGCTTTAAAATAGCAACAACGCGCCGTCGGGGAATCGGGGAGGTGACCGACTCACGGCTTCGCTATTGGAGTGTGGTAAAGCAAATTCCTTTGTTTGCCCATGACCGCTCTCTCTTGGAGGGTGATCTCGTGCTCTTTGTGAATTGGCGGCCCTTCTCTCAATGCCGCTCAAACTGCACCGAAAAAAATGTGGCCTCAATCTGCTTGACGAGAGTCGTGGCCTGTTGCGGAAATTAAGAACACCCCACATCGTACAAAATCTCGGGTCCAAGCTCGTTTGGATCCAAAGCAGCCTGCTCCGGCGATGCTTTAATTGCCGGCTTCGGCGGAAATGTCTTCAGCCTTCCGCAAAGTTCCACAGAGCTCGACAGGCATCGCAGCTCCCGCCATCTTCTCTCAGTTCTGCTCGCCATCCACAGTCTGATCCAAGGATCTGACCGACCAGCGAGAAGTTTCTCTCCAAATCTGCAGCTTCACAACTTCACGCTTGCAACACGAGGACTTGCAACTGAAACGCACACTCAAGATTATCCCTCCACCCCCCAACCCCATCCAACCCCCCAACCCTCCTCCACTTCCCACGCCCAGTGTGTAGTGTGCTTCAGAATTGGCATAGTCATTTCTGGTCACTCACGATGTGCAGATAGGACTGTGGATGCTCAATGCGGCAATGCGTAATCAACATAATCGGCTGCTGCGGGATGTACATGCTGAAAGGTTCTGCTGTAAGGGTGTACAGAGTTTGTTGTAGTCCCACCCATGGTAGTGGTGAGACCTTTCCGCGAATCTTTCAGGGTGACGAAGAAAGTGTGCATCTAGACCATTAGGATATTTGCTTCTTCAGGTCGTTACTATGATGCGTCAAAATGCACGCGACAAGCATACGATGAACAGTGTTATACGATGATGAAAGCACCGGTTGCTGCTTGAGGATGTGCGCTGCGGAGAACATCCAAAATGCATTTGCAAGTTACCATAATAAACCAGCATTCCCGCGACGCATACTCAGCTCCACACACGCGTCGGAACTTTGTAGAGCGTGTGGTCTCCAACTCGCGAAGTGCCTGCCATGCGACAGCGGCGACGTAGCCGACCGTGACAGTGACTTGATGTGACAAAAAGCTCCTTTAAAGCTCTGGCGCCTCGCCATACGCTCTCCAAGTGCAATATGCTTGGAAAGCTGGCTTCTCCAAATTTGCAGCCATGTGCATAGTGACCTGCTCAATGATTCAATGAAATGAGGGCATATTTGAGGGCAGGCGGGGGAACGAAAGCGGGGGCGGGAGGGGGGGCTGGAGGAATGGAAGGGCACAGGGGGTGCATTCATAACGGTAGCTGGTGTTGCACGCACTTCGTTCTTCACATTTCGTGGCAACCTCCATGTCTCAGCGGTTTATGCTTCAGCTTCTTCATAAACAGAGTAGACAGGCAAGAGGCCAAGGGCTTAACTGACCGAACCCCAAAGACCTGTAAAAGTTTCTGGCAACAGAGCATTGGCTCCTGAGACATTGCGCTTCTGCAACATCTGGCGGTAAGACGAAGATGACAGTCCCGGCTGCCGCTTCAACGGCAGATGCTGCCCTTAGCGCCTTCGCGACGACGCCGATAACTTGACGGACATCACAGCTGGTGACAATATGAGGAGGGCAAAGGTCTTTACTGTACATTTTTCGTGCGTCTTCAGGGCCTCGCATGAGGGCTTGCCTGAAGACACTCAGGCATGCTTGGAAAAGTCTGCGGCAGGACGCGGAAGACTCGCAGAGATTCATGGCAGTTCTTTTTTCATTCTCGATTATATAAGGAAGTGGACACTGGGAGATGGACGACAACTCCCCGGAAGAAGGAATCATGCCGGTGGATGTTGCTAGTTCTGTGCCTAGGGCGGTCGAAAAGGTTCCGGCGAGCAGCCTGCATTTCTCTGACAGAAAAGGCAACGGAAAAGGAAAGAGGCCGCCTTCCATCTAGGAAAGACAACGGAAGAGTGAGGAAATGGAACGAAGGAAGAGGAAGAGGAAAAGGCAAAGGCAAAGGCAAAGGCAAACACGAATGAACAAAAGAAAGGATTAAGGCGGTGGAAACGGCAGAATCACAAGAGTTCAAAAGGCGACAATGCTTCGAAGCCAAGGCTGACCAAGCATAGACATATGCTCATGCCGAAAATGTTTCGGGCGAAGCATGGCGGTCAGAAGATGGGTGGTGCTCCATGGATGGTGACAACTACTGGAAAAGGAGATTGGAAGAAGAAAAAGAACGCGTGAATCTGTGAAGCAGCGGCGGATTCTCGCGCCAACAACCTCAGTCAAGCGCACCCAAACTGTCAGGATTCCTTTTAAGGAATACTCCAATGACGAACGAGAGTCTGCAGATGTCTCCAGGAGTTCTCAGAGGCCGTGCCCGAATGGACAGGAACAAAGAGTCATGTGCAATTGGACGGATACCCAGAAATCGGATTCAAGGGATGTCCAGAATGTGCCATGTTTTGGGGCGAAGGGGCTCAAAACTTCATTTTGCTTAAGCCCGCCATCCTGCCCAAACAAGCCCCACAAATCTTAAACACTGGAACTTCCACCAAACTGCACTGGGAGTTTTTGACCATCAGCCATGAAAGGAACAAGTGCGGACCATGGAAAAGCATCGAGAAAACGGCCCGTACAAGCACGAACTGCCAGCTCAGAACACGTACACAGAGTATGAGCAAGCACAAATGGTAGTGTGAGAAGATGAGGGTGGAATGGAAAAAACTGTGGGGAGCAGCTGCAGGCAACGGTGGGGAGGCTGAAACAGGAAACGGTCTAGCGCCCGGCGAGGAGGTGCAATGCTACGCAGCCCACCGGTTGCGGCGCTTGTCTGTCAAGCAAGAGCACTGCACAAAACGATGATGAGGCACCAGGTCCAACCGATTCAACCGATGGCAAAAACTCCAAGTGGAAAGTAAAGCAACAACCAGGATCTGACACCGCATTGAGAATGTGTCTTACCCGCCATGAGCAACCTAACCAATGCATCGAAAAATCATTTCTATTCGCGTAACCTACTTCGTCCGCTGGTGTATTCATCGATCACAGCAGGCCCCAGCCTCAAGCCAACCTCTCACAACACGATCCCCATGGTGGTACAGATGCGATCGCCCCCAGCGCAAACCCAGAATCCACCCAGCTTCACGAAAAAACACCAAACTGGATGAAACGACACGGCGTGTCCGCTCCCGCCATGAAGAGCATCAACGAGTCAGTCGCACATGCAACATCATCAGATACACTACGCCAACAAGCACTTGGGGAAACCGCGCGTTTGCCGAATGCCCCCACCGCGCAAAAACGCTTTCTCTAAGCAAGCTAACAAGGCTACAGAGCATGTTCGTCTGTGTCGCTTGTATTTCGTGTTGCGTTGGCAACTCCGTGTCTCAGTGGTTCATGGTTCAAGCTCGAGCATGAACAGAGGCCGAGACATTGCGAGAGGAAAATAAAGTGTGATACAGCAGGGGGCAGGGAAGATGAGGGAAGATAAGGGAAGATGATATAAAGGTGGGCGAGAGAGGCAGAGAGGGATGAGAAATGCAACCCCCCCTTTCGTCCTCAAATCAAAAGCCGAGTTCTGCACCTCGCCCAGCATCTGAGTCCTCAGTTCAGAGCTCAGAACGCCCGCACAACGCGCACGCACGCACAAGACTCGCACTTTTTTCGGTGTTGAAGTCGGCTGAAGTCGGGCGCGCGCACACAACACAAGGAATCGACGAGCACCACTTGGGACATCGACAAGGCATGCTTGCCCCATCTTGCCCCTGCCCGGTGTGGGTAAAATACAATGACATGACGTCTCGGCCGCTCGGTGAAAAGGCATGGTATGATGATCACTGATGTTTGTGGGGGGAGGAGGCTTGAGGGACTCTTCTTCCTTCTGCCCCCCAAATCCATCAGCAGAGGGCCGAAGCAATAAAGAGAAGCTGAGGACGAAAGCCCTCAAGACGTGGCGGCTCCGCGCGTCCACGCAGGTATCGAGAATCAGGGCATTAGGGATCCAGGAATGCGGTGATCGAGTCGCTTTGAACCCAGCATGTCTCGGAGCTCAGGCGGACTGTGGGGCATCGATCTGGCCACAGAAAAGTGAAACCCTGCAGGCTGTCGGCGCGCTTGGAAACCATGGCCACGAAAACTGAACCCGAAATGACACCGAAATCTTCACACTGCAACCGGGAATGAGGAGACGCTGCGAGGGCACTGGGGGCCGTCATACCAAATGTTCCTTCCTTTTGCTGTCATTGCCCTCCCGATCAAGACTCCTCTGTGGTGGCTTGGAAAGAAGAAAGCGCGTGAGATGCGGGGCCCAAAGGAAGCCTTCGAGGAGTGTATTGGCATGCCTGAGTCAATCGGACTTCGTCGGGTCATGTCGGGTCCAAACCCTCAATAGGCTAAACAGGTCCAGAACCAAAAGCATAATGCCAACGGAGGCCAACAAAGACCAACAGATCCAGGATATCTGGGACTGCACTACGCCGGAGACTCGAAACATGCTTTGGTGACCTTTACTGAATTGGATCGCGGGTATTGACAACCCCATGATGCCAGGGGGGCTCATCATAGCCTGAAAAGGCGATATGCTGTCCCAACGGGTGATGGGTGTAACAGGAACCAGCCTGCGACGTAACAGGAACCACGCTTTAGGCACCGATAAGAAGTGATGGGGAACATGAACCAGGAACTGTACAGGCCTCCCCACAGTTCCTTGTACAGCTTTGGCCCAGCTCCTGAAACAGATTCCTGAAACAGGCTGTAACAACCCCGATTCCGGTTGCATCGTTTGCTCCTTTCCCAACTATGCTAACTATGCCCCTCTGGACGATCACATGTCCAAGCAAGGCAGCCCATGCAGTCCATGCAGCCTGCACACTTGAGGGCACTGCTCGAAAAGCCCAGCTTCTGCACGTCCACGGAGTCTTTTCGGCTCCTTCACATTCAGCGCAAAGAGATGCGGCCAGTTGCTGCCTCCAGCGGCCAGCCATGTGAAACAATGCGAAACACCTGCCGCGATATGTTTTGCTCTGGACAGTTCCTCTTCAACTCTACGGTCCTGCTCCACTAGTTCTGCCTCGCGGATGGCGATCTTCTGCCTGATTGCAAACAAACTACCTCTCGAAAGTGATAATCCATCTATATGGACAGCCGGTACATCTTCTCAACATGCAACACACACTTCTCTCCGTCCTTGTTAGCCAGTGGCAGAAATGCAGAAAGAGTCTCGAACGGTTGCCGAACGCATATTCTTCATGGCGAGCTGCCTGTCCAGGCCTGAAGAATCCGCAGCTGCTCTGCCTGAAGTGCTCAACGCGAGGGCTTACTCAGCGCAAAGGTGCTGCGAAGGCCTGCGGCCATAACGTCTGCCTCTGCTCCAGCAGCATCCGGAACCTCGCAGCAGTTGGTAGAAACACCAGAAGTGCCCAATTCGCAGTTTACATGGCTACCACAGGGCTATGGACTTCCCATGCCTGGACTGCTGAAAAAGCCCATGTTTACCATATCATCTACCGTCGCGTCGTGACATGTTCAGTTGCTACTCGCGATGGTCGGCCTCTGGGGGCTTGTCGGGGGAGGCCACGACTTCTGTGACCCGATTGACACCTTGCTTCTGCGCATGTTTCTGACGACCGTACGGACCGTACGGACCGTACGGAGGAAAGAGGACACGGCAATGTCACAGGTTAAAGCCAGAGCACCATCTCGGAGCTCGAAGTCGGCTCTGGCAAATGCGCGCTGGGCTTGCTTGATGGGCCTTGTCAGGAAATCTCTGAGCAGAACATGCACTCAGAAGAAGACTTCATGACAGCTGAGAATGCGGCAGAATGTCAGACAAAAAACTCACAAACGGCCCTGCGCCTGCAAATGCACATGCACTGCACATGCCCTGCCAAGTGCGGTCTCATTATGCTGGCTGCTATGCATCATTATGCAAATTGCGATATGCATGATGATTGCGACCTTATGAGGATGTGACGGGCGACTGCAGGCACCGATACTGCAGTGGCAATCGCGATCAAGCCCGCAGCCTGCCGGCAAGGATGGCCGGCACTTTCTACCTCATAATATCAGTCTAGCCTTTGACCTTGTGAGTTGCCTTTAAGGTGCCTGGCCTCCCTGCGGAAAGGCTTCGCTCTGAGCTGTTGCTTTGAGCTCCGATGGTCCTTCGAGGATGTGACTGTGACATGACATTTAGTGCGTTATTCTTTGGATTCGTGGGCTTTATTGAGAAAGGACGGTCATGGGCTGTCTGAACATTCCAATGGTGCTCAACAACCCTAGCAGTAGCCTGAACCACACCGGTTTGTATAACCATCTCAAGGCTTTGCGTCTTCCCGGGCTACTGGGCGCCATGAAAGCTGCAGGAATTTCACCAAGACTGACCAAGCCATCCATCTGCTGCCTTGCCGCTTCTAGCTGTCCTCCACAGTCACCTTCCGCAGCATCGGCAACCTGAATGCAGACCTTGCTTGGAGAACACATGCCACGTCTCAGATTTGGTATCATTCCCCTTTGTGCCTACACTGTGCCAGGGCGTGTCTTCGAGCCACATCGAGCCCGACATCAAGCCAGATCCACAGGATGAGCGCAACATAAGAGTAAGCTTCTTGCCGGGTCGGATCTCCAACCCGCGAGGCCCAGCCTGACAGATCATTGTTAGAAGTGTGCCGTGTGCATTCCAAGTGCACTGTGTGGGCATCCCGTGAGCTGGACTCATGCATGAGTCAGCATCTTGCAGTTCCACCAAAAAAAAACTGGCCTGGATCTGCCGGCGCTCGAGGCCCTCCAGGTGGCCTCGAGATCTCCGAAGCATCTCTTCATACTCTCGGAGTATGTTGCAAGTCTGCGTGCCACGTGGGTTCTCGGGTGCCGACCTTCGGATTGCAATCCAATTTCCATGACTTTGACACGAGAGGCATAGAGAACTCATGCCACTTTCTGCAAACGTGCTGGACATGATCACCAGAAGACTAGGCTTCAAAGGTGCGTTTCGTGATTCTCCGACCCCTAACGAACCCCAGACAAGTTCCAGAAAGATGTTCTTCACGAAAGACACAGAGATTGAGCCGAACAATGCTCATTCGGCGACTACCCTCCTTTCACACAAACGACGCTTATTTACAGTACAGCGCCGTGAAGTTTCACTGATCATCGGTTAAACAGCTCCTGACAAGCAGCGACATGTCCAAGCACCTGAGCACTCTTTGGGCTTGGCGGCCAGCGTTAGCGCACAATCAAACGCAAAGAAAAGACACATACTTCTCCATAAGAATTCGACCCCAAGCCGAAGTGAAACAGAACAGGATCGCTTCACGAGTCCGTGTCCATCGATTTAACGCGCACAGCTTCAGAAACAACTTCATTCAACCGCACGCTGATTTTTTTCTAGTCTAGACTGTGCAGCCAACCAGGTATTTATTTGTTTCTATGTCAACCTGCCGGTGGCGTGATGTGGCATGCACTACAGTGGCCCTGCCGACTTCTCGGCAGCGGACAACTTTAAGTTGCGAAGCCCTTGACATTGCTTCTCACAGAATCCGCCTTCTGTGGGTCATCACCTGAATTTCCGGGTCAGGCAGGTGAAGTTGGGAATGTACGGCAACTTTCAAAGTTCGTGAGGTCCGCACAGCGGAACGTCCCGCACACCCGTCCACTTCGGAGGAGCCTATAGCACTACGCTTGGCTGAGATTTGGCACCATGCAGATACCACTTTAAAAGAAGAAGGGCGGGCGGGCCTCGTACTGGTAGGGTGTCTCCATGAAAGCCAGTAGAGCAGTGCTCGGGCCATCCTCAGACGATCGCATTTGCTGATACCATACGAGACACGCGGTACAGTCTGACAAGAAGGTTGGCATGGCCTGGAAGCCCAGCATGTCTTGGGTTGCCTGCGAGCAACTCTGTCACTGCTATTCACTGCTCTTCGCTGATGCGGGTATAGGCGAGGAGACGCACCTTGAGCAGCCGTCTCGCCACACGCCATTCACCCTCTGAGTAGTTCTGGTACCTGTGGGCAATGCTGCACACTGATCCCAGCTGGTGCGTCAAGTTTAAGCATGTGCCGACTTAATGTAGCCACGCAGATTTCCAGGATTCGGGTTCTCGGGTGCAATTTAAGGAAATCTAGTGTTCACATCGTCGTTGCCTGACCAGCGGCAGCATGGAAAGGCATCAGTCAAGTTTGGGGATTGTGAACTTGCCAGGTCTTCAGGGTCTTGCTGATGGGCTGCGGCTCCACGTTTCAGCTTGGGCGGGGTATCTAGTACAAAGGGCTGAGGTTCGTATGAGCACTGCTCTCGCACAGGTGCGAACATTGGGCATCATGTCTATCGCGAAATATTTTGGAGAATAAGACTCTATCTCGCGACGCTTTCAACTTCAGTTGGTCCTCCCCCCTCCCCACCCGATGTTTTGCAAATGAAACTTCTCTCGCGATTTGTGCAAGTACGGTGGGTCCTTCAAAGGCGGAAACTGTCGCGAATTTTTCTGAATCTCACACCATGTCATGCCACCCTGAAACTCTCGCTTTGATTCTGTGCCAAGCATGCTTAAATTCCACGCGACCGTGTGGAATTTAAACATTCCACGCGCCCGAAGCAGCCCCAGTGGCTTAAATTCCACGGGCGCGTGGAATTTAAGAAGTTCCAGAGGCTTAAACTCCACGGGCGTGTGGAATTTAACCGGCAAAAAATTCCGAGTGAAAATCCTTATTTCCGAGGCTGTTTTTTTGTGACGTGTTTTGATGTGATTGGATGTGTTGCCCATGAAAATCTCAGATTTAAAGGCCCGGGCTCCAGCCGATCCCAAGCCTCGGTCAGGCCCTTGACCATCTCCCAGCCGGTGACATGGCCCAGGCTTTACCGCTTAAATCTGCTTAAGCAGTGCACAGTTCAAGACACCACAATAGAACCGTTGCCTCAAATGAGCTGGGCCACAGAGCTATTAACGGAACTACTCCAGCAACCCCTCATACCAAAGCTTTTCTCCCTGCCCGGGATTCCTCCCCAAAGCCTTCCGGGCCTTTCTCGTTTCCCAGGCCTCCTTCCCAACACCTTTCTCTTTTCCCGCTCCTTCCCAGAAGCCTCCTTCCAAAGCATTTCTCCCTCTCCGGGCCTCGTGACGTGCGATAGGCCTACACAGCCAATCCCGCCCCGTGGCCTCTTGGCAAATTCCCGCCCCGTGGCCTCTTGGCAACTAGGATTTGTTGCTGTTTGTTGTACATTGCCGGACCAAGGGCATCTCCCCTGCCCATCCTTTTGAATCCATAAAAGGTTCATGGCGGGTAGGTACCTTAGGGAAGTTTCGGGAGCCTTGGGGAGCAGTGGGGAGTATTAGGGAACCTTGCCCTCAACAAAAGTTATCAAAAGGGCCATCCTCTATTTCAACCCTCAAACTGGCTGCATCTCGAACTACCAAGCTCTCACCCAAAAACCGAGGCCTCCAGCCTATTTCTGGGAATACTGCAAGTCTACACCTCTTGTGCAATCCCGCCATGCACAATAACAAAAGTGCTTGGTTTCATACTACGAACTACTCCAAGAAGTACTGCAAACAAGATTGCATAAGATTGCCAGTCCAACTTGCAAACGAAAACACCGAACCCGTGATAAACCGCCCTGCGGACCGTCCATGAACCCCTCGGACAGTCTGGACGAAGTCAAAGCGGTCACCCCATGTTGAAGAGCTGCAGGAACTCAGTGGTGTAAAGCTTGCGCATGGCTTTTACGTCCATGCTGTCGTTGATAAAGTCCTCTACCTGGCATAAAGATGGCAAAGGCGCTAACGCTCACCAGCACATGAGTCTACGGATTTCTACGGCATATGGTGCGCTTCTTGTTAAGATCGCCAAGCTCACAATGTTGACGTCGCTCGTCCATTTCTTCGATTTTTCCACCTCACGAGCTGTCCGACATGCGTCGTGCAACTTGCACCTTATACAGGAGTGAGCACCAGTCTATTGAATAGCTCTCCTGAGGTGAGCGCATCTGCTGTCTTATGTTGTCTTGCTTGCTTCAAGTAGCTCTGTGTGGCTGCATTGGAGGTGTTTGCCTAAACGTTCTTATTGCAACCTCCCACCTCGAAGAGCTGGCGTGCTTTGAAGCGTTGTCGCACGCTCCATTCCAGTGTCGAGCTGGCATGGTGAATTCTGATTGTCTTTATGTTCCGTAAGTCCAGAAGCTACAGCCCATCAGCAACATCGGCAACAAGCCTGTCGTCATGAACAGGAACACGGCCAGTCTCCTAAGATGAAAGCCGCTTCTGCACAAAACACTCACGAAGTGTAAGCTCAACTTCAATCGCCAGGGGCCCCAGCCACATCATACACGTACAGGCTCAGAGGAATTTTGGATCCCTTCATGTTGACCTGTGTAGCGGTCCAAAAACTCACATAGGTTTCAAACAGTGCCAGCTATATGTCGTGCCTTGTCTATGAGTCTGCACTGTCGTGCTAGGGCCTGAAAGATGCAGAGATTCGCGCTAACCACCTCTCAGCACCTGGAATCACCATTGAAACCGACTTCTCTGCGCCTTGGAGCAGAGGGAAATGCAATCCTGTGACGCCAGGATGCTGACCTGATAGACCTGACTTCATCCAAGAAAAAAGCAGTCGTTTCAACACTGCTTGAAAAGCGAACGAAAAATGCATTCCGTTTGCGCCTTCGTGGCAAATTCTAACGTCTCCGCAATGCTCACATTTGGTGAAAGGTACGACCTGAAAGACATGCTTTCTGGCCATCCGGTGCACACTGAAACAGGTTGAATTCGCAACACAGGAAGCAGCTACGACAGTAGCTACGCCAATGCCGAGACTTTCCCGCAACTCACAACATTAAGGTCTCGCAAAGCCTGAACAGACGCCTATCCATGGTGTGCTCCGGTTGCACTCCTTTAATTAAGTGTTGAGGCCATCTCGCACTCGCCGACTTTCAATCCACTTGACACTCGCACTCCTTTCTCACACTTCACCGATGTGCAAGCAGACTATTTCAATCCACCCTCGCGTTCCTGTGACCTCAGGCTCAACATGACCCGATGCATCTAGGCACGTTTGCAAGCCTTCTGTTGAAGAGTCCATGGATAGCTATGGCAGGTGTGTAGGCGTACTCGGTCCACATGCTTTCCGCTTCAGTGCATCGACATATCCGTCGTGCATATGGCATGTTGTGGCCACAAGGCAAAAACATTAACTCCCGATGGTGATACATACAGGTATTACCGAAAGCATGGAAAGCTCTCAATGTATGCAAGCATCGCCCCTCCCCACTTTCCACCACGCTGGATAATGAAAATGCCTTCAGTCGTGTGGCGGCCACAGCCACCATAAACGCATTGGCTAAGACTCGGCTAAGACTATCCTGTATCTTCAGTTCGAAAGCCAGTGATAGTTGACAGCTACTCGCACTTGCTGAGGCCTCACGCAGACAGCCAGGGCAGCTAGGGTCTCTGCGCATCAATTTTGAACTCGCTGCCGACGGCACCCTGCACAGTTCTGGGGTGATCGACGTGCTCGAAGGCTCTAAGACTCTGTAGTCACACCAAAGACAAGAAAGACAGGGCAAGATGGAAACAACAATTGCGACCACAAGGTGAGGGAGCGAAAGCGCATCATTGAAGCACATCAGTGAAAGCTATGAGCTGAGGCTGGAGACGGCTGGAGGTCTGAGGACATCCGCATTTTGCGAAACTCAACACGTTGACCCGTTGACCCATCCTTTTTCCCACCTCAATGGCCCAGCCACGGTGAAGACCAAAGCTCAAGTTGACTCGGCAGTGGGTTCCGAGTCTTTGTATTAGACCTCAGCCGAGAAGAAAGCCACAGCACTTCCGCAACTTCTGGATTCTATTGGATTCTCATCCCCACGACTTCACAGTTTAGGCCAAGACCAGGATGTCCACGATATTCTGCCAAAGTCTTGTTGCTATGAGTGCAGCCCAAAATCCTGCAGGCTTGCGCATGGAAGGTGCCACGAGAGGCACGGGTCAGGTTTCCGGACCCATGCGGCATTGCAGTCCTTACGCAAGATACCACTGCCATGTCTGCCATCCGCGTCTGCTGTTCATAACTCAGGCCTGTAAGATGCTCAACACGCAGGAGTGTCTGAAGATCACTGTCATGAACGCTGGGAACTCTACGGTGTGTATGGTTTCTGTGAGGCCAGGATTTTCTTGCCTCTCTGTCCAATGAAAACGGTACATGTAAGGTGTAAGGCATGGTAGAATGGAAACTTCTTGAGATTGTCATGCCCTGACGCACATGTGTAACGGAATTACGCACGAACAGACAGCTGATTTTAGAATGGTTTTTCTTCTACATGGATGTTGCAGCTGGCACCCAAGCACCCGAGTGTGCGGTCCTGGCTGCAGATCATTTTGCATGGCTTCAGTGCCATGCGGTGTTCAAAGGTTTTGGGGACTATAGTGTTCTCCTTGGCCTTGCTTTTCTCTGACATCATACTACGTCCTGTGGGTCCCGAGGCCAGCTGTAGAAGTCATCTTGCAGATTCACACGACCGCGTAAAGGCCGTCCCTGTGGCATGGTTCCTTCAAGGCCAGTCCCAACTCATCTGGCTGGGACTTGCCTGATAACGAACACCCCCAGCAAATCTGGACAGAACCTCGAAACGATTTCCAACACTGTCACCAGGAAAGGCTGAGATTCGGGTCCGGAGCGCTTCGATGCGCTTCGTGGCAAAAAAGTCTTGGTGGTTCCGGAGACTACTTGTCGATCGGGCGCAGCGCATAGCGGAATAAAGGAACTTCGCAGCAAACAGCAACAAGTTTGGGTTCGGAGAGAACAGCTGTAGTTCGGGGGCTGAGCTGGGGTTGGGACAGGGTTCGGCAGCCAGGGTCGAGCAGGTCCACAAAGACTGCAAACATCCATAAGCGTAGTACTTGAAAACAAACAAGAACCGCTACTGTAATACTGCAACAGTAAAAACTGGCTGCTTCACACTGTTTCATAATCCGCTTCCGAGGCGACAAGAACGACAGCAGGAGCATGTCGACAACGTGCGGAAACAGTTTCCAGGATCGCAGCTCCGGGCAGTCGGCGAGCGGATTTCAAGGCTATTCCACCCTTCGGATGGACTCAGGGTGTTTCCAAGCCTTGAACTACGATGTAACTACAAGCACATACGAGCGCGGACATAAAAGACGTGTATGGCATCGATGTTCTCTTTGTTGACTGTTTTGAGCCTACCCAGTATCTGTTGTACTTTAGTGGCAAGCCTCCAAGTCGCCAAATGAGCAGGAAGCGATCACCTGTCCCCACACAGCACGACAACCATGAGCAATGGTGCCAAACAATGTGCGCTTCGACTTGAGCGACTCTCTGCCGAGGAGGTGTGCATCTGATCGCACCAATGATGAAACTGTTCTTGTAACAGGCTAGGCCGCTAGGCCCGGCACCGCTGTTCTTGTTGGGAGCGCCGTGGAACTCGCAGACAAGGCCATGAACCTTGTCCATATCAGACGGGATCACTAGGGTAACTTCGGCTCCCGGCATTCATTAAGCTCATGCACTGGTTCCGAAACATGGTTTCTTGGGTGCACGGCAATCTCTGCAATCTGATTCACGAAGGTCATGACCTGGAATGTCACGACGAACTCGTCGCAAATTCTTCAGACGCTCTGGGATGACTACAGCACGAAAGACTGGAAGAGCATAAGAGACTGGAAGACTTGCTGAAGTCTGCACAACGGTTGGCCCAATCATCTCAGGAGACCCCGCAACGATTCTTCAAAACAAAACAGAGAAAGTATCAGAGAAACAAATCCAAGAAATACGAGAAGTTTCCTTATAAGATTCCAGGATGCCCCTGGGCTTTGGTTGTTGGGCGTTTGCCCCTTCTATCGCAGAATCTGCGGGAAGGTGGGAGGAGGGGTGGTCTTTCTTCCATGTCTTTATTCTATCATTTTGATTGCACCTAGGACCTTCACTTCAAGGGGTCATGACAGTCCTTACTTGTTGAATTAGTTGCATGCGGACCGAGAGTGAGCGAGCAATTCTCAGGCCACAACTGACAATATGAACATATTTTGGCCCTGGCTTATAATCCTCGCTAGGTAAACCTTGTAAGCACTCTCTGAGGACCCGAGATACAAACCATATACGACCTAGACTAATTATAGCCTGAGTCTCCAGGATGGACGTGAAAATCTATGATTGGCAGGAAAACTAGTTACCCTCTCGTGGGTTCGACTTGCTCTAGATACTCCGAAGTTCAGATAATGTTGGAGCAGCTGGAGAACGCAAAGCTTACTTGCTTTCCTGCAGCTGTATGGCAGCTGGATGCTAACCGTAGTGTATGAGGCTTCATTTGTGCGATTCTGCCGTTCGCCACGCGACAGCACTGCTTCAGAAATACTAGATTTCGCCAAAAAATGTCACAACACGTGCGGTGCTGTTTGGGGCCAAGCTATCTTCTTTTGGAGGCCAAGGGTAGTAGGAAATTGGCCCTAAGTGGACTACCCCTCGACTTATTTATTTTCTTATTATAGCTAGAAACTTAGAAAATAAGCTCCTCATTATTAATTTGATCAAATATGCCCCGCAATTCCCTCTTCAGCCTGGCGTGGGTTCCCGCACCCCAACCCACCCGGACCTGCCGAAACCCTCCAAACGATTCCAAACCGTTCCCCAGAGTTTAGTTTTGGCTTGGCTCGGGCCCTGTAATAAGGCATACAGGAAAGAAGAAACTTGGTAAGAAATCTCATGATTGTCCAGGTGCGGGATTCATTTGTTCAAAGAAAACGGCCTGAGGCCTCAAATTTAAAAAATCCAGGGTACTCTGATCTGGAATCCGCTGTCTTCTCCAGCGCTGATACTGCATTGCGGCATTGCGGTGACATTGGCAAGCAGCCAGGCCTTGCCCTGCAGGACTTCTGTGGCCGTGCTGAAGTCCCGGACGCAGGCCGATCCGATGATACAGTCGACACGGCTACCTGGACTCTTTCAGAGGCACGACAACAGCTTGAGTTGACTTCTTCGCTAAACTTGACGCTGCCTGGAACCATGGCATTTACACCAGCAGAGTCCAGACCCTGCATGTTGTCGGCAACGATGCTGGCACCGGCCTTTGCAGCGTCGTGACTCTCGATCATCACATGCTCACCCCGGGCTTCTGAAGACATCTTGAGGCATGCGCTTCCCCAAATCCGAGCGCAAGCAGTGAGCCAAGCCTCACTGATCTCTCATACTTCTTGGTCGCAGAACGAAATAAGAAGACAAGACTCACGAAACAATTCGGGGCCGCATCCCATCTGGAAGAGGAGACCCGCGATGAAAGCCCATGTTCCAAAAATGCGAACGAATAATAACTTGGGAAAGCTTAGCAAAGGGATCGCCGTTCCTTAGAGCTTCTACTGGAGTCAGGGCCTAAATCCTTCAGCTGTGCAATGAGTGTTTCTTCGGGGCTCACTTCCTTCCCTCCCTGTACACTAATGAACTAATTTATTCACGAGCGGGTGTCAGTTTGTCGCTGCAGTGGAAAATCAACGACTCCTTGCTGCAGCACTTCGCTTGTGCGCTCGGTAGCCAAAGCACTTGTTCCTGGAACCAACACCCAAACAAAAACAGGGAAGAGCCCTCCCGTTTCCACCTCCGGGGAAGAACGCTGCAAAGGGACTCCAAGGGGAGGGGGGAAATTGTATGCCGAGAGGCTTGATGATGGTCTTTTCGAGAACCGCAGTCTCCATCATCCTCAGGGTACACTCTGCTTTGGTTGCTTCTTGCGTGCTGCTTGGTCTACCTGCCAGGCGAACGACTTGTGTCGAACTCTTGAAGAACAAAAACTGCAGGACTTGACTAGCTGAAATGTGAACCTAGGTCTAGCTGCAACGTGAACCTGGGTCACCGGGTCGGTCTTGGAAACAGATGCAATTTCGAAACATGGTGATCAGTCCCCAATGCATTTTGAATCTGAATCGGGATGTGTTTCAGGTACCTCGCCTCGGTTGAAACTCTGTTGAGCTGTCCTTGTACACACTGTGTTTGCAAGTTGCCATTGTGCTGTGGTGGTGAAAGCATTGAGACCAAAGTTGTCCGCCGACAATTGGTGACAGCACCAGCATCGGTGCCGTGTTGGATGAACTGCGTGGGGACAAACCTCCCATATGAACGGTCACCCTTGCTTCTGTCCCAACGTTTCTGAGAGGCATCAGGATCTTCCTCTCGATGTTTCCAGATTACCCATGTTAATTAGGCTCCACCCAGTTACTGCCCATCCGTGGCAGTACCTCCCGCTTATCGCTGGTAGCCTCCACGAGCCAATCTCCACGAGCCAATCGGCAATAAGGTGAATTGAAACGCACATTCGAAGACCTGATTTGGGTGCTCTCAAGGAATCGAAAAGACCCCCAGAAAAAGCATCGGAGCTCTGATACGCGCTTCCCCCCTTAGACTTAGACCTCCCAGTTCCCACCCAGCTGAGTCCCAACTCTCAATTGAAGCTCTGAAAAGTCGATGTTGTAGTCGAGTCACAAACCCTCGTTGCGGGGTTTACAGGCAGGGTTGACGATTCAGAGGTCGATTGCTCTGATGTACGCAAGTTTGGCAGAAATTCGACGGTGCTCTCGCTTGAAAATTTCGGGTGTAGGAATGTAGGCCAATAGGCTTGCCCACCAGTCTGGGGATGTCAGGGGATTATTTGGGTTTTGGGGATTGAGGGATATGTAAACATGGTAAACATGAGAGCTCACCCTGCCCTAGCTCCAAGGACCCCAAGGCTTCTCCGGGGCTGAGCTGCCTAGCTCCAGCTCTGCACAGCGGTTGTGTACACTGCCCCAGAATCTCAGATCCCATCCTGAGCCCTCTTGTTTAGTTTGCCCCGCCGCTGCTTGGGCTAGGTCGAACATCTCAAAGTATTCGCTCCAATCTTGCTTGTGAAGTACATTGACTAGCATCGTTGGGTCTCGAAAGGCCTTGAAATCGAGCCTTAAACATCAGATCTGAAACTATAATTTTTCAGAGTCCACTAAGGAATTCTGAGGATCATGCGCTTCATCTGCGGAGGTGTTTCCTGAACGCAAGCGTGCAGGGTGTCGGCTTTGAAAGAATGCTTCAAGGGGTGCCTCGCAGACACGAAACATGCAGCTCCGTTTTCAGCAGCACAGCATTTCTCAGAGCTCTAATGCGCATAGTTCTGCTCGTGCCAATCAGCTGTGTTCCGCGTAATCTCTGCTAGTGCCAATCAGGCGCGTTCCGCGTAATCACATGCACACTCTACTTGTGCTCTCGCCTGATGCCGAGAACCAGTTGAGCATTCGAGACCTGGGTGCAGTAAAACTTGAAGAGCTGGAATTGCCGCAGGCATTTTCACTGCAACCACAGCGGCACGTGCCAACAGAACATGCCAGGACGACAAGAAAGACAAGTGGTACTTTTCTAGCCAGATGCTTCGCTTCTCCCTGGCAGGTGGCGGACAGGTTCTTGTGTTTGTTTTGGTTTCTGAAAACAGCCGTGTCCTGAAGCACGCGCACACAGGTCAGAGCCAAAATCTTCTCAAACGGCCTCGTGGTATTTGCCTTAAACTTCTTGATCTCTTCACCCTGGAGCACGCATGGCTGCACAGTCACACAGTGTCGTCAACGAACAATGGTTCCTTACTCAAAACGAAGTATGGCTCGAGCAACAAGCTACGCAGCTACTAGTGACTGCTAGTGAGCCTTGAACTCATCATCGGCCATCTTCATAGCGGCAAGGGGATTGTCTCGTATGAGGTTGACCTTCCGGCAAAGCAGGCATCGTGCTTCAGGTGCGCCAAGTTGCACGTCGAGCCCTTGCCCAAGCGATCAAACTGCAGCATTCATGCCCCAGAGAGGGAGTAGTGCAACCGACGGAGCCTTTTCGATCATGCTCTCTACAGGGCGCAAGACCAAAACATTTGCATCCTGGCGAGCAGCAATCTCAAGACTTGTCTCAACGAAGAGCATGACAAACAACTGGGGCTGGACAAAGTCACGCATCATGAAATCGCACAAAAATCTTGATGCTCAGCCAATGGGTGCTATCATCAAGCGACACAAGCAACAAACACAATCTTGAGAGCCCCTGACTCTACAACCTGATCATTACGACATAGCAACTTGCGCACTCTGCTTCCACTTTGGAACACACACACACACACACACGTTGGCGTTTGGCTGGAGATCAGGTGGTAGAGGTACGCACTGGAGAAGACATGGTTTCTTGGGAACGAAAGCACCAACAAAAGCACCACGTCGAGCATCCCCACCGAGTCCCAAAAACCCAACTGCAAGGCTGCTATGTTGGTAAGCGCGTGCTTTGCTGCTGTTTCTGTGTTGACTCAGAGTTTGCGGTTCGATGCAGCGAGTTTTGAGTGCAAGGTTAGAGCTTTGGGCAGCGCGCCCAGTGTGTCGTATTCGTTTGCGGTGGAAGACAGGTCATAGCATGCATGCAGTGCTTCTTGGGGTTCAATGCTTGGATTTTGCTTGGGTCGAAAAGTGTTCTTGGGCGTTGCTGGCTTCATGCTAGGTTCGGCAGGGGTTTGTTGCAACTTCGACAATTTCCGAAACAAACAACTTTTAATATCAGTGCAACCCGACAACATGCAAGCTGTAAGCACCTTGGCGCTGACACTGTCTACGAACAGCAAGCGCAGCTGGCACATTTGCTCGCCTGAAGCTTCCCTGGCTTGCCTATTCAGGCAACATTTCGGTATAGTTGCCCGCCTCAGCCACCCTGGCCTGCCCAATTCACATGTCTGCTGAGGCCTCGGGCCGTAGGTGTCTACGCCCCACCTTTAATCCCCCCCAACAGCCCACGCGCAGTTTGCCCCACTTTCTTTGGAACTGTTTTGCTTGGAACGGGCACCCTAGCCGACAGGTGTCCGGGAGCGAACGATGTATCAGGACCCGGGAGAGCCCCGGCCAAACTAATTTCACATCTATAGCACTCCTCGATGCACTTCTGATACTTCGTATGACTCGTTTCCATGTCAACGTGCACGCTCACAATAAAAACGATGCAGCTCATGGGCTTTGTTCTGTCTCAGCAGTGGAATGCATGGTTTCATCTTATCGAGCTCAAGAATGGTTGAAAGGGGTTCAATTCTGGAAGCGCAGCATCACGCCATTTCACAATTACAACGCCAAGGTTCCTTGGAGAACTGCAGGGATGCCACGCAGAGGACCAAGCAAATGAAGCCCTGCGATCAAAGATCAGCCGTACTCTCCGAATGCGAATAGACCAAAGGAGCTTCTGCAACGCTGGCCGTCAGCATCATGTTGTTCTGCGACTCCGCCCTCACGAATGGCCTGTAGCTCCGACAGTGACTTCAAATGCTGGGCAGACCCGAACTCCCGAACCATTGAGTTGAGGGAAGGGCGAAAAAAACTGCTCTGGCAACTATCGAGTGTCTACCGGCCTACTGATCCTTCCTTGAAACCCTCTACATCAGCTCTCAGGCGGCGACCGTGCATCAAAGAAGAATGCCAAATGCCAGTCATCAAATTCCTGCCTTGTTCAAGGAATGAAAGGTTCAATGTCTGGGCAAGCCGGTTGGCAAGTGCATGTCTTGACAAACTTTAAGATATCCAAGTGGCTCTGTGAGGAGTGAAGGCTGGACTCTGAAACGCTCCTGTGGCCGGAGGTCGTCCGGACACCTGCCCATGCTTGGAGATGCTTAAAGTGTCAGTTTCCTGATAGCAAAGAGGATTGCGACTCATGGGCCAACATGACGGTTCTCTGCGAAACATGATGGTTCTCTGCGTAAACGAGATAGATGTCGTGGAGAGGCAAAGTCCCTTGGAGGAAAGTCCTGCTTGTCATCATTTAGGGTGCGTAGCTACGCAGTGCTGACGTTGAGCATTGTCCATGATTGTCCATGTGAAGTACCAAGCCAAACGGGCAACGTGTAACTGAGTTGGTGGATGAATTTCGCATCCTACTAGTGATTGCAATCTTGACATGGTCAAGATACGGCAATCACCTGCACTCCCCACTCCCTGCTTAGCACAGTGCACATTTCGCAGCTCAAGCTATACCATAACTGCCGAACTGCAAAGTCCTGGCAGCAATCGTATGAACCAGCTCATTCAGTGCTGCCCTCGACGAGTGGCTAGAATGCTCAGCAGCCCAGATCAAAACACAAGGTGGTTCGCTGGCCTGACAGCATACGACACGGTGTCCTGTGCTTCAGCAATATTTCCAGAAACCTTCTGTCACGAGCTTTTGCGTGATAAGCGTAGTAGTATTGTGCATGCTTCTGCACCTTTGAACTGCTTGAATAACATCTTTGAGGTTCGCATGCTTCGACCACGCCAGCCTCTCAACAATTTGTGAGGTACGAGTATGTCAAGCCCAGCCGAAATGTCAACAGGGGCAACCTATCTGCCATTGCTGCGGGCTGACAGATTTCAGGAAGCACCTGGCTGATCACAAAACGGGAACGCATGGCTCTGTGTCCTTGCATGTCCTTCCCTGTTTCTGCTGTAGTCTGGTGCGCCCACCCGCGCGTTCTGTTGCCTTTTGTTCGCGTGCTAGGGCTTGCATGGCTTGCCAGGCCTCCCCATGTCGCGAAATGCGACCGTACACTTTGTGGCCGTAAGGCTGGTGCCTTCTTTTACCTAGACTGCTCTCCCATCTAGATGTGCTCATATCGCGATGGTCTTCCCGAGCCGGCACAATCCAGCAGCATCATTGAGAAAGCGCAACTACAAGTAATTGTCGCAGACACAACATTGCACAACAGCACATGCCGCGCACATAACCGCCATAAGCCAGGTCCTCCAGCAAGTTGGAGAGCAAGGACTGACCGAGGTGGCTCCAACCACCAAACTGCACGCAGCTCTGCAGCGATCCGGAAAGGTTTGAACAGTCTTTTTTCAACATTCCATACAGATTAAGCTCACAAGTGAATAGGTTAGTAAGTAACATGAAGAGCCCAGCCTGGCACTCGATATTCCAGTCAGAGCTGAGCAAGTCCTGTGCCTGGCGTGCAAGCGGACAGCAGAAGTTGTCGATGACCTTCCAGTCTGCCTCCAGCGGAAAGTTGCCCATCACATAGACCTCGAACCGGGATACACTCTCATAAGGGAAAACATGGGCCAAGAGCTAAATTGTGTGCAGGCATGCACGAATGCACTATTGACTCATTGACGAGTCATTGACTGCAGATTCTATTGATGGACGCAGGCCAAGCGCTTGCTTGGGGCTGTCCAATACTAATTCTCAATTCACTTTGGCATTTCTCAGCCTTTACCCACACCCGAGCCAGTTCGTCCCCTGCCCTTCAGCCGTTCTTTATCGTTCTTTGGCGTGCACAGGAGGAAGACATGGCTAGACCAACAACTCGAGGCAAAGAGAGTCAGAGGTGCTGGAGGCATGAAAACAGCCAGCAAGTAAAGTAAAGGAAAAGAGCAGAGATGACGAACTGGACCGTGAAAGATTGTGCTTGCTCTTCTCGATGTGCACTGTTCTTAGGATCGGCGACCCTTGCAAAATGCTGCAGTCTGCTACAGTAAAATCTTCATTCTTCTGTTTTGTATGCCTTCCCACACGTGCGCAGTCGTGCCAATGTTAGGGACTCGTTGACTCCTGGAGTGGGCTCGGGGCCTGATGTCGTCATGATGTGCCATCGGATTCGGTCCCATCGAAGCAGAACAATGAATGTTCGTGCGCCTTCTAGCGCCCGCAGCCACATTCTGAGGACACTGCATATTCGGCATCTTGCTTCGACACGTTCGCATCCCATGCGACCACAACGTCTTTCTGCAGCCTTGCCTGCCACGAGACATAACGTGCCAGGAAATGCGAGTCGGTCTGTCGATCCTCGGCAGTGTAGTTCCGAAGCTCGTCGAACGTTTTGCTGCGTCCAGCGAAGCCGACCTCTATTAAACACCCAGGGCTTTGCGACTCGTCAAGTCAGTAACCACATCGTGACGACGGTCAGCAGTGATCACAAATGGCTCATGGGATCAGGCCCCGACCCAGAAAGCATGGCTGAGAAAAACTGCTGGACAGAAGGAGTCTCCTTCGCATCCTGCATGGCCGGCAAACCTGTTGCAGCGATCCCGTCAACAGGGATAATGCAGCCAGCGAAAGCACTGACAGCCAGACCAGTTATGGTAGTAGAAGTACCTCGGCTCGTCTGTCCACGTGCGCACACCAGGTTATCCAGTTTACACGGGGTATCATGGCACATCCGATTTCGATGATATGCTCTATGCAACTCGCCCCTATGAAATTGGCTAAACATCCTAAAAAGATCCAAAAGCTGGAAAGATCTGGTAAGGGTTCAGGCCAGCCTATGGCACGCAAGCATGCCGTGTCGTAGACAAGCACCCGCCGCCGCCGTAATGGTGATTAACAGCGCTGCGTGACAAAATGATCGCGTACTGAAGATATCTAGCGCCAGTGCTCGTGATCAGCTTCAACACCCGGAAACGGAGATGCAGTGCACCGCCCACAGCAAAACTCTTCAAGCAAGAGTAACTCTGCTGACCAACTCTCTGGGGTAGATGCTTGAGAATGGACTCCTCGTACAAAGAGCGACTGGAGATGCCTTCCTTCATATGCCTACCACCGGCGAAGACAAGACGGCCAAGAAATCGTTTGTCTTGCCTGCTTGGACATGTCTGCTTCAATCAGAAGCCAGCTGCACTTGCATCAGTGTTTGAAGCTTGCCCGGCCTTGCTGCACAAAATCCAGAGCTACCCCCCCCCCCACCCCCACTCCCCCCCACCCCCCCCCCCCCCCACCCCACTCCCCCCACCCCCACTCCCCCCACCCCCCCCCACCCCCCCCCCCCCCCCCCGCCCCCAGCCTCGACTGTGTCTCGGTTCGACTTCCCCCAACCCCCCCACCCCTTTTTCCCCCACACCCCCACCCCCACCCCCCACAGCCAGAGAGTTGATGCCTGGCCTGTACTTGTCAAACACAACACTGGCGCCAAAAGCAGCCGATGTCCTCAGCAATTCAGCAGTGCCTTGAATGCTGTTTCATGTGCTCATGTGCTTCAAGTCTGCCCTTTACTAAGCCAGAGACAGATCATTATGCGAGTTGCTGACGATGAAAACCTTGGACAACTTCTCTATGTCGGCTCGTTCTCACGTGCTAGCCCGGATGCCGAGGTGGGTGCTGGCATTACCATCAGCATCACTAACACCTCAAGAGCCCACTGCCGAGGTACATTGCGTGCGCCTGTCTCAACGAGCACTCACCAAGCCCCGCACAAGTATGATCACTCGCCGGGTGGTGAGCGCAACTAGCTTCTTGCCGACGGCACTCTCGCCTGAGTGAAACAAAAATGGAAAGCTAAATCGAAGATGAAAGGATTCCACTTGCCCTGAGATCCTTGCGCTGGCCCTGTGGCAGAAATCGTGTGAAAGCAACGAGACCCGCTTTAAATTGTCTGCGCATGCTTGCACGTCTGCACAGCATATGTTGCTAACTGGCTTGGGATAGAGTGACGGATGCCTGGCCTTTCGCTGATCCTGTTCGTCATATTCAGGATTGTCCCAGTCATCCTGCAGAGCTTTCAGGCAACAGTCATTACAGTCATTACACATGGCCTTCAAAGATGCTGTCGGATGCTGATGGCGGATACTGACGGCGTTTTCTGTCACAGGGGCTCCGGCAAGAGTTTCTTCGCCTGGCCTGAAAGTGCAGAAGCGCTGGCACACTGGAGGATCAAAGGGCAGTGCGGATAGTCCTCGCACAAAGCCTTTGAGCCTCGTGCGAACTGGCACTGCTTTTTGCTGCCTCGGCCATAATGCGCTCATAAGCTGCCTGACAGGGGGCGAAAGACTTGGTACTTTCGCTCGCGTTCAGTTCGGACAGCAGTGCACCTCACCTTATACAGCTTGACGATTCGGACGAGGCGGATTACTCGAACAACTCGGCCGACTGACCTGGGAATGTGAAACGTTCTGGGACGGGAGATGGCAGGAGTTCACTAGTTGTGACATGTTTATTGCATAACATGTCACGTGGCAGTAGCATCATGTCGCGTAGCATTGGCATTGGCAGTGGGGGGCAACAGCAGGTCCGATTTGCAAAAGACTTGACAAACGCATCACCGCCGCTTCGGTGTTTGTCCATCTGGCACATCCTTTGTAGGAAAATTTGTGCGTCATCTGATCTATCCGTCCGAGGATGGCGATCGCTTCCGTTTTACATGTCTCATGTGCATGACGATTTGAATACATTGCATGTCGTCACACAGGGTTCGGCTCAGTTCGAGTATCAACTACTCAGCACAGGGTCGCTGTTTACTGTCAGAGCATGGGCAGAGCCTTGTACGCACACATGCAGTTTTGAGCTTGTAGTGCGCTCTCAACCACCTAGCAGTCGCTTAAACTTGAAAGAGAAGTGTAACACGGCGACAAGTCTTCGCAGGGGAAATCCGAGTTTCGTCTTCTCGTGGTCGCAAGGATGGTTGTGGCTTCGCATCTTCGCATCAGTACGACCACACACCGGTTTTCAGGGTTTTGGGATTTGTTGGATTCGAACATCAATTTCGGAATCGCAAGCCTGCACCCTGTTGCGTAGGATTTAAGAGTGTTTGCACATCAGGGTACAAGAAATCAGCAAGATGAACGAATCAGATTCTGGTTGCACTGGTTCCACTGATTGCACTGTCACCCGCTTTGGCTTTGGACTGCAACCGGGGACTCCGCCAAAGAAACAAGAAGCGTTGGACTTCTACCTAAACGGCCTCTACCATTCAAACGCTTGCTATCTATTGCCGTCGCCAGCCTAATTTTCAAGCATGAAGGGCTGTTCAGTCCGCAGCGCACAACACTTTACCAGCGCAGCAAATGCACACCAAGGTGAGGGAGAAGACTGCCGCTTTGCGAAGCGGGGCTGTGGAATCAGAAGTGTGCATTCCATCGCTTGTCCGAAGGTGTCCGAAAGGGGCGCAGGATGCTAGGACTGCTAGGATGAAAGCACTAGCTTTTGGAAGCCTAACGGCCCGGCCTCTGCAGAATCTAGCAGCAAACACATGTCTAGCACGACTATATCTCGAGACGTGCTGGGGCAACAGAAGACTCCAGGAGTAGACTTTGCAGGATGTGAACGTGCCAAGCGGACCAGTGGGGATGGCAAGGTGTCGAACGGCTCTTTCATGCTTCAGCTCATGTCAGCTCAGTGCTGCCTCCAACGGGCGACAATATACGGCGTACAGGTATACCACAGGCAGTAGGCACGTATGGGCAGATATCGGCAGTTGCAGAATTCGTGCGAGCTCGAAGCTGCTGTTGCTCGGGATGCAGCGCTCCGAGGCGCGCGGTCCGCCCCCCACGGGCCTGCAGATCGAAAAGAAAGGAAGTGAGGAGGAGCGAAGACTTGCGCTGTCAATTCCAAGCAGGTGGGCCCAGGTAGGTAGGCCTTGTCTCCAACTTCCATGTCATCCGAAACTAGCGAGTCAGCCACCTTTGAACACGTGTCAGTGCTTGATGGAACCGCACCTGCACTGCAATGCTTGCTGCCGCACCCATGTGAGATCCAGCAGAAGGGAGGCTGTAGACACGCAGTCAAGGACGAAGAAGAAGCCAAGAAAGTAATCCTGGGTCGCTGGTCACTGCGGCACAAGATACAAATGTTTAAGCAAAACCTGCACATGTCTGGACTGAAGGTCGTCCTGCTTGCAGAAGGAGGATAGAATGACCTGTGCATAAGTTTTAAGGGTCTGATCTGGAAGCAAAAAGGCAACGGAACCATCCCGTCTGAGCCGTCTTGTAGATGGATATTATATTAGCATGTAGCAAACGCAGCAAGTTCTACCGATGACGTTGTCTAAGGTCTTCCGGACAAGACCACGTGAGCAAGGTGCCTCCACCGCAAAGAAGCACAAGCACAGAATGGTGGTGACATTGAACCTGCGGACGTATGCGGGCGTCGAAGGTTTGGAAACCATGGTGGCTCACAGAGCGAGTTAGGTTGCAGAGACCCACCGGAATTTTAACTTTCGCCGACAGGCCCGCTTTGTGGCCAAACTGATGTGTGCCGGTCCTACCGTTGTTCAGCGGGACGCGTTGGAGCCACACAGTACACAGTGTCACACTGAGGTCAACCATCTCTGAACAAAACTGAGCTCTAGTCATGTTTCCATGTCTCATTGCCGCTACTTGGCGGCACGCTCGGTTCATCTAGACGAGGCTCCATCAAACTTTCGAACTTGAAAAGCGCCGTGGTTCTCTCCCTTTGAAGGCTTTGCCAGAGATCACTGGCTGTTTGGCCGCGGACAGCTGGACCTGGCAGCTAGAACGTTGCGGCACAATTGCAAACTCATTCAGCATCATACATTGATGTACTGCATCGCGAAGACTCTCAGAACACAGTACTCGATTGCATGTCAAATGTCGCAACCCTTAGGTTGGAGGATGTTGGAAGGCCAACAGCTGTGGAAAGCCATTGAGATCCAAGCATCCGGACAGATGACCTGGAGCACAGCCTGAAGCAGACGCGAAAGACGCCCAGCCATTGCTAGCTAAATTACTGCAAATGAATCAATTGACGCCTTTGGCTTTTGTGGCACCTCTACTCGGACCTTTTGAAGGAGTGCCAGCCTCGTCCCTACCTTTCCCTCATGGACAGCTGCTTTTCGGAAGGTGAAGGGTTTCGGTGAGGACACAATGGAGCCAAACCGAAAATACCTAAAGCCTAGAAAAACAATAGCAGTGCCAGTCGAGGCCTTCTCAAACGAATTCATGCATTCATCATGGAAAGAAGCGAGCCTCTCATCTGTGGAGCGTCGCGATGGTCGTGGCTCGGCCTTGTCTTGTGTCAGTGCATTAGGCTTTCAGTGGTGAAACATGGCGACTCTGAGGCTCAGCCCCACCGAGTCCACAGAGCCCACTAAGTCACTAAGAACAGTGAAGGGCTGTGGCCCACTCAAGAACTCAAAGGACTACTCATGACTCGCTGTACAAAATTGTGCCGAAGCATGCTACTGCGGAAAGATCCACATCATGCGAAATCTGGTTTCACGCCAACAATTCATGTAGCTGATGCGTTGAAAGCAGTTGAAATACAGCGGAACTTCTCACAGGCTGTTGTGAAGGACAGCTTGCGCTGAAGTTTGACTCTTCGACTCGCCGGGGAACTGCTGCAACTATTCAATCACGTGACATGTCATACAGGTGTGTTCTGTTTCAATCGAGCCGCAATGGAACCCAAAACTCCCAAATCCTGACACTTAAGGTTGTGTTCGACGCAACAACAATGGTTCCAGAGCGACATGAAGCTCAACTCCGAGGAACTATAACTATAACGACCACTATAACTGACTATAACTATAGCATACTATAGCTATAACACGGATTGGAACCTGCTCGTCAAGAAGCTGTGGGATGCTACAGTTTCGGAGCGAAAGGAGCTGACGAAAACTAGATGGCAGATCGATGCTCGATGCAAAGGAATGGAAGCTTCAAAGTTGCTCTGTCTTCCGTGGCACGTGTCATCACACGCAGCGCTTGGTCCAACACAGTGCTTGGCGGCACAGGGCTGCGCAGCCTTGGTCATGTGAACAACAAGAGGTCTCCCCACCCGCATGCTGGGACGGTGCCGGGTCAACCTCGCTACCCCACGCATACTCTCGTGACTCGCGTGCGATTGCGCATTGACAGCTCCAACGAGCCATTTAAGAGACTCGAGGGAACTTCGAGAACAACAACGAGGGGAACATGATGTGGTCACCCCTGTCGGTCACGAGTCGGAAACCTACCACAGGGTTGTGGTTGTGTCTGACAAGTACGCATTCTGCATTTCAGCAACAAGCATTGCAAAGCACCAAGACGAAGAGCAAACGAAATACATGGCGAGAGAGAGAGGGGAAGGACAGCGCAGGGGAAATGATCAAAACCAACCCAAAAACAAGGAAGTAGGAACTCTGCAACATCATTTCCTGAGTCGTTTCCTGGTTGAATGTTCTTGTGGCCTCTGGTCTTGCGTTCGGGATTCTGGTGCTGCAACCCTCTGGTTCAGCGAGCTTTCTTCATTCCTGGTTGGATGGGAACCCAGGCCAGGAGACCGGCCTAAGAAACACGGGCCAGCAGAACGGTTCACGACGGTTCACGTGGTTGACTTAAAGTCGAAGAGTCTAGCAGCCCCACACCGAGGGTAGGAAAAAACGAGTAAGCAAGCTCGGGAGAAGAACCTTCCGTCCTTGCAAGAGTTTTGTTGTGCCTTTGGAACTTAGTCATTCGGTATTCTGCTTCTGGAAAACCCAGTAGTGTGGTTTGTTTTGGCTGATGGCGGGGAAGCCTAAACCAAAAGGCCCTCGTGCTGTTTTGGCTTTGGGGGGGGGTGGACAACCAAAAGAAGAGAATCTGGGTTTGGGTTGGGAATCACCAAATCCGAAGATGTTTTTCGTTTCGGCTTGGGGGTTGCAAAGGGGTCGTTGTTTTTGCTGTATGGGGATGGCCCACTCCCCAGAAAATCCTCGTCGTTGTTGGGGGTTGGGAACTGAAAACCTAAACAAACTGGGCCTGGGCTAGTAACACGAAAAGCAACCCCCCAAGACAAAAAGGACTCACCTCCCGGGCTTGTGTGCCTTGGACCGTCTTTCTGATCAAGATGCACAGGAAGCTTGGCTCGCTGCGTGTCGCCGCTCTACTCGTCCGCAAATCATTTTCAGACACCATCGGTTTTCAGGTGCCAGGCGCTGCTCACCGTCAACAAAAACTGCGTAGATCACATCCGCAACGGCTCCGCGACATCTTCGCGGAGGTTTCTGTTTTGGCCTATAGTCGTATTGCATCCACCTCCCCCCAAACTTGAACGATGAGATGGTACGGCCAACATGAAATTAGGGCGTTGATGATGCTAGTTATATCTTCTGGGTTTCCCGAATTTTCCCGATGAATGGGCCGATGTAACAAGTATACTTCAGGTTTACGTAAATTGGGGGGGGAAGACAAAGCCAAGCGACTTTGACGAGCGAACAGGAGCCGAAACAAAGGAACTTCAATCGAGCTCATTTTTTAATCGGTTTTCAGATTTCGTTCTGTCCTCATTCCCTTTTATTTGCCCACGCACACACATATATTCTCGAAGATAGTTAAATTTCCAAATTAAATTCATTAAGAACCCCACTTTGCTTCCTTGCATATTAAATATATTCTTTTAATGCGGCATTCTCTTTTCTCACTTTGCCGCGTGTGTAAGAACGAAACTAGATTATAAGAAAGAGGAAGAAAGAAGAGAATTCGGAACAGAAGATGGAATGCGTTCACGGTGTGCCCATTAATGATTATTCTCTGGTGCGTCTTTATAATTACAGCCTTTTGCGCGGATTTATTTTTTATTTAGTACTTTTGCCCCAAGCTTTTGTTAATAATTCTTCGTGGGTTTCTTTCACACGCCTCTTAATCCTGCCAACAAGAGCAACCCAGAACTACTCGGGAAACATCGACGGCAAGTCACTGATCAAAGCACACGAATGGAGACCACAGCACTGTCACAAGACAAAACATCAACGGGTCCCCCCGCCACCCACCCCCACCCCCCCCACCCCCACCCACACCCCCCCCCCCCCCCACCCCCCACCCAACACCCCCCCGGCCACCCACCACCCCACCCCCCTGCGCCCCCCCCCCCCCCCCCCCCCCCCCCCCCCCCCCGCGCCCCCCCGTGCCACTTCACCCATGTGCGCCTCACCTTTGTTTGGTCGCCCGTCCTTCTTTTGGGGAGCAGATGCTCGGGAGCTGCATTGCCGAGGCGGGTCGTGTAGCGTTCAAAGGAGCGTCAAGCAGAATGACAGGACTTTGCAGTGGGCCGCGCGTGCGCGTCACCTCTAGCATCCTCCAGGATGCATCTCAATGACACATTACGCCATGGCCCTTAGGTGAAGTCGGCTCAACAACTGCTGCGCAGAAAACAGTGATGGAGATCAGGATACATAGGCCTTAAGAAGAAGTGTGCAGACTGAATGGTGTGGTATGTATTGGGACCAAAACCGCCAGCGCAGGCTACCCAGGCACAACCTCACGAAATATCAAGTGCGCAAAACAGAGGCACTTGCTCCGTCAATGCCGGCGACTGTCCGAGGCGTTCAGTAGGACAGGTCCTTGTCAATGGAAGCCGGATCCAACTTCAACAGGTGACCGGCTCGCTCAGACTATAATATAAGACCCTGTCGTCGACATCAAGTCTGATGTGCAATCCGGGGAAGGACCTGATCGAGAAAGCGGCCGAATACAATTGGCTGCGACGTTGAAGCGGACGGTTGGGTTCTACAGAATGACGCTGAGTGAGACTCCGCTTGCCCGCCCAGCGCATCCATCGCCGCCCTTCCAGGCTGCCCAACAGCACTTGCAATCTGCTGGCATGGCACTGCATGAACCTGATGCTGCAGTCTCGAAAATCTCAAAGCTTGTCATGACAGCATTATTGGGCCTGTGCCTGCCAGGACCAGCATGAAGACCTAGACTCCCAACAACCGTTGTCAAGACTTTGTGAGTCCGACGTGCAGTGAAGGCTCAGAGACTGAGGAAGGTGCTTTCGAGCTCGAAAACCATCCAGAGTTGGTAGGCTTCGCTCGAGGCCCTCCTGAAATGCTGTACTCACAGAACGCGCAGACGAAGATGAGTTTTTCCCAAAGGACACTGAACTCTCACGGCTGAAGGATGACCATTTTTCGCGGCCCGGCTGAAGCTTGTTTAACACTCTTTCAAGCATGAGCAATTCATGCATGCCCGTTTGGAAGCGACTTCTTCGACATCTCAGCAGACAAACCAAGCTTCGGAAGAAAACTTTTTTGACTCGTGGATCAAGGAGACATAGTGTGGAAGTGTAGGGTTCTTGCTGAATCTTTTGAGGCCACCAAGAAAGCCAGCCTTTCCAGGAATCTGCAGCTTAACATGGACCCATTCAATCATCAAAGGGCAAAAAAGGACGTCTGCTTTTTCGGAGAACTGTTGTTTTAGGGTATGTGTCTCTCGCCTTGTCGCCTGGCGCATTCCAAATCCCGAAAGACGACCCTCTCGGCGTTTCGAGTTCCCCAGTCGCTTCTCCTCTGTATTTCAGGTGGTTCCAACCTACTTTCACACGAAACCTCTTTCCTGCATATTCTATTCGCAAATCGTCTATTCGCTCTATACTTTAACATGAAGCCTGCAGTTCCTCTATATGTAAGTACGACGACCTCAAAAAGTGTCCTCTGAGCTTCAATCGGAAAACCTCCATTTCCTCAATACTCTACGAGAACATCCGTTTGTCTTGCATTCAAGTTAAGTGTGCGTGTATCGGACAAAACAGAACATATCATTATAGATTGTGTTATAGCTCCGGCAATAATCCAAAAGTATAACATTAATTGCTAAATATCACCCGTTACCTGTGTACGAAAGAATGTTCATGTAGACGATGACTCTTGCAACACTCGGTAAGTGTTAGAACATGCCAAATTGGTAGTATGTTCGAAAAGAAACATGTCCCAAACATTGAGTATTTGTCTGTAAATGCAATATGTAATCGGTTACGAATAACATGCAATCTAGAAAATACAGTTTCTACGCAAGCATACACAGTTTGTACAGTATGTACTGCAAATGCATACAAAAAGGCAATTTGCAATATGATATATACACATACAGTACATATACATATGTGCATGTATGTATGGATGTACATGTACATACACGAATATGTCTTCCTATACAATATACCATGTATATATGCCATCAATGTCATTTAATGTTGCGCAATAGACCAGAACAACATGTACATACATATATATATACATACACACGATGTGACAACATTACATACAACCTTTAAATTTCTCAAGCAATATACCACACATAACTGTATGCCAACTAACCAAAGCACATTATAATCATAGGATACACTAACTCTACCAAAAAAACATGCATGTAAACGTGCCTGGTCAAGCAGCAGCATACCGATCCAAAACAAACGTGGTGATGTGTGCTTACACAGACGATATCATCCATATGAGAGGCTGACCACATAACATGCTTCGGTGGCCCCTACCCCTATCGATTTTCGAGGGTTAATTAGCACCCCTACGCACACAGACCAAGCCCTAAGTTTCAACCCAAACCGAAGGCCAAACCCTCAAGTCCCCCAGGTCAACAAACGCCCCATCGCAGGTGGGATGGCATAAGCCCTAAACCCACAAACCTGCAACTCAAAAGCTAAGTAGTATAAGTTGTAAGTATACAGAACATGCTACAGAACATGTCAATCCGAAAAATACACATGCCTTACACAGAATACAAAAACAAATTCTCGTATAGCAAAGGGAGCGCAGAAAAACACTCAAAATGCATAAGACATTCAGTGCATGTGCATGCATTTATATATATATATATATATATGTGCGTATACATACTGCACATATTACAAAAAACACACCACAAAGAACATACAACACGTATTTTCTACATCGTCATTTTTATAGGTGCTTAGTTTTATACTCAAAACTGTTTTGTATGTAGGTACATGAAAATGATGATATGTTTCTGGAACAAAAACAAAAGTATTCGGCACTCATGATAATGAAATTCAAAAGTTAAATAACGAAGCCAGATTGAAACAATTCTTGTGTGATGGGGTCGAGCGGCCTCAAGCGGGTTTTGAAGCAACTCTTCTGGATTGCAGTAAGTTCTCGAGCACAAGCTTGCACAACTTCGAAAAGGGCGAGGTTAGGGGTGATGTTCCTTCCTTCCTGCCTTCCTTCCTTCCTTACCTTCCCGAGAAGATTCCGGGAACGGGTCTCGAAATGACGAGCACACATTCCGCAACGACTGTGCTCCGAGCTCAGCGCAAAGAAACATTGGACATGCATGGACATGCAGGCCCAAAGCGGGATTCATCAACCCGGGAGCCCTTGGAGATGCATCAGAGGTCAGAGCCTTAACAGCCCTTCGATTGCGCCCCCGTGCATGGTTTGGATGCTGCCTTTTGATCCTGAGCCTTTGGGGCGCTTAGCCGAAGCGCCATAGGCGGACAACGCGCCTTGGAGACCTCTAAACACCTAGGCTTAGACACCGAAGCCAGGTGGCGGACTGCCCTACTTTGCACCACCCCCAGCTGGACCCCCTCCCCACACCCCCGAAGGCTAGCTTTCGTGACTTAGCATTGCGAGCGGCTATTTTGTTCATGCGGCCGGACACTCGGCAGACGAGCTGGTATGATGTCAATGTTGGCCAAGCCCACACTGCAGCAGCGAAGTGCGCGCGGATCAAAAGCTCTCTGTTGTTGCAGAGGGCAGCGCGGGAGCTGGAGGGAAGCCCAGACATTCGCAGAAAAACACATCATCAGCTCGCTTGAGTCTTATTCTGGCATGGCTCCTTTGCAGCATGCAGCACACAGTGCTTATGGGCTGCCACAAGTCCAACGCATTCGCGATGGACACGTGCATCAAAGTCGCCTACCTCGCATCACCGAGGGCGACAGAGTCTCCACAAAACTCTCTTGCGATTCTGACCTTTCTGACAGAGTCGACGCTGCATCAAGTTGCTACGTTGCTAACGAAAAAGAGCCCCTGCGCCTCCTCCGCGAGCCTGGCTCGAAGCATTCCCTGCGCCTGCAATGGAAGTGGGAATCCGGGGCAGATCACTGAGTCTCGAGGAATGTCTAGTCGGGGCGGAGTGAGTGGCTAATGGCGACTAATTAATCCTTTTTGTTCGCGCTGTATGTGCTGCTGAGTTTCCCAAAAATATGGGCAGCTTACGTGCTGCATCGAACAGCTGAGTTGGAATCGGACTCGTTCAAGCCCGTCTTTGCTGGGCCCTGAGGGGGAAAGTTGATATAAGGTTGGCGAGGGAATGACTGCCTGGCCAGTTTCGCAGCAGAAGCGTTCCTGCGGGGTCACACTGTTTAGCAGAAGGCAGGGGAGAAACCACACTATGCCATTTTTTTTGACCCAGTCATGGAGAATGAGCACAAGAAAGTTTACTTAGGCAAACACTGGCCTAGATTGGCCTGCTGGCAGGCTGCGTGTCCCCTTCTTTGCCCAATAAAGTGCAAAGACACATGTTGCCCATGCTGGCTCTCAAATCAACGCAGAGGAACACGCAGAGGAACAGCATCTGAGCAACATGCGTGCGTGCTGCGTTCACGGGACAGGCATGCTCATGGGCTTCAGGTGCAGAATGATGCAGAGTCTCTCTGAGTTCAGGGTGCCCCTTTAGAGAAGCCTCTGGTTTTGGAACTCTAGGGACTCAGGGATGCTCGGTTGGGCTCGGGCAGTGTCACTGGCAGAGGCAGCACAATGTAAAGCACAAACACTTTGCAAAACATCATCAACACGATTACAATTCTCTTATAACATGAAATATCACACAGTATCAACATAGCATCTCTGAGACCTGTCGCTGCCTCCGAGAGGGCCACTCAGAGGGGGGCCCTTCTTTGAACTCTAGCAAGTTAGCACTGGAGTGTCTGGCATTCCGCCTTCTTCTGCATCAGCTCCATGGTGTCTCTGCAACCCTCGCAAGAGATCTTGGGCTGCGAAAATGTGAGGATTGGTTTTTGACATATTGAGACACTTTGCGACATGAAGGCTATGAAGCTGCCTCCGAAATCACGGTCCAAGCATCGTCAATGCGGTGCCTGCAAATTCAAGGCACGCATGCGGGCTTCGCTGCTACTCTGCACCAAAATGAACTTTAGCCCTCATGCTCGGGTGTTCCACGCGATGCTGTTGCCGCTGAGCTCATCGTCCAGTGGATCCGCGTCCTGTTCTTCTCGTGGGGGGGGGGGGGGGGGGAGCGGGGTTGAGGGGTGCTCAAATTTGCTGTTGATGGTACAATGTTTGAAGTTGTTTTTTCCTCTCCACAGCACCTCGGGACTTTAGGGGCCTTCAGGTTCCAATAGCTCACGCATGCACAAGTAAGCACAAAGTGGAGCCTTGCTCTGAAGTACCTGTGCTTGGTCCGAAAGTACGCCGCAGACCTGCGATCTCAAAATGCAGGAGACTATGCTATGCTTTTGGATTCGTGGAGGGTTCGGGTCGACATGGCTCAGTGCAACAACCTGCGCAGTCCCACATGATACCTTGAGTGGGTATGGAAACACCGTAAGGTGGATCAGCTGACGCTTACAGCAACTGCGCTTGGATGTCCTTTCTCGGCCGGAAAATCAGCGCGACTCCGGCGGGGTTGTTCCGGATTCAGTTCACGTTAACGTATACCGACTCATACAGAGAAGTTCAGAAGACCTGCTGATTGCAGGCATTTGCAAACATTTGCAGACGCTTTTGACTGCCAGTCTGCGTCAGTGGTGATCCCTCTCCGCATCGAGACTCACTTTGCGGCTTCAGCTTGGATCGCCATCTGAGTCATGTTGGACCTTCGCCAACACGTGCGCCATCGCGTTCCGGAATTCTTCTGTATCAGTGTAGCGCATGCGTAAATCACTGGATTTCCGATTAAGGGATTGGCAGGAGGACAAAGCTCGCCGAGGATGTTGTGCAGCTGGCTGTCGTCAAGGGTGTCCTGACATGTTTGCCACACCGAGTCTAGCTGGCACAGACTCAATATCGCGACCAACCCTTCACTGCTTCACTACAGAAACCAGCCAATGAACCCACAGCCAAGACACAAGCAGCACCACAAACACAACAACATGAAGCAGCAGCATTCCACAACACTGGTGTAAACTTCTCCTCGTCTTCAGACTGCAGCAGATCATCTCCATAATTGTGCCTCATGCCCGACATGCGCAGGCTCACTCGGAGTCACACTATTGGACTATCGACTATACGTGCGCATTGCCTCGCATGTCACACTCTTGGTGCGGACAAGCCGCTGTGTGCAGGATGCTTCCTCTGTGAGGTCCACAGACACCTTCCCTGAGAACTAGAGACAGAGAAGTCAAGCAGACATACGAAGCGAGAGAGGGAAACACAAATCGAGGTGCGAGATTTCTTTGCAGGTTGGCTATGACCACAGACTGGAAACAACAAAAACATGGAAGGCACACGGGCTCCACACTATCTGCTTCCTCGAGGAAGACTATATAGTGCATAGGGTTTCGAAGTAGACATGCTATTGCTCGGCCATCCCAGCTTAGAGATCCCGGATGCCTCCATAGGGGTCTTGGCTGACTTGGTTGCCTGGACTCTGTCTTCTTGAAGATCTCAGCTGCACCTCGCAATCACACGTAAACCAAGTAAGGATGGTCTGGGAGGGGAGGTCCATGAGCAGAAGCGCGTGCAGGGGGAGAAGTACTTGTGGGAAGCTCTCATAACTAGTCACTTAGTGGTGTGAGTGGATAAGAGAAAGTAGCAATGTCCGAGTGGGAGTTCGGCAAGACTTGAAGGCCCAGGAGAGCAAGGGCCCAGCAGGGGAGCAGCTTCTCGAAACCTACTTGGAGAGGCGCTTTTTTCAAAGATGTGGCATATGAGTAGGGCCTGGGTTGGACTTGCCATCGAAATTTTGGAAAAAAAACACCAACCGCTCTCCTGAACAGAGATGTGTACTGGGCAGCAGGTACTAGACTTTGAGTAATCTAGAAGCACAGGTTATTCGTTGAGGTTATTCGTTGAGTGGCTTCAGAAAATTCACGAGCAGCAGTTCTCGGAGCAGTGCGAGTGCAGGCGTAATTATCGCCTCGAAGCGCGCTGCGTGCCACGCCTATTGGGCATCGCATCCCCCCCTCCCCCAGATCAATAGGGGGCCACTACTGTTAGTTCAGAATCACGACGTTAATGTTGTGCATGTGTGCCGACCTAACCCTGGATATGTAGCAAACTACACCTACAGGCTCCAAGACGCCAGCTTTCGTGACGAGGCGCCGCGCCATCATCGCGAAGCTTTCGACGTTTAGCGGCCCCACGTGCTTCAGCCACAGCATCTAGAGCCAACTTTGCAGCCTTGTGGGCACCTTGGAAGCATTGTGCAAAGCCATTGATTGTCCAAACGCCTGAAGACTTTTGACACTTTGCTTCATATATGCTTGTCGAGATACCAACTTTGTTCAAGAGCTCCTGCACAACTGCTGGGTTGTCATGAGCAACGAGCCTGAGATGATTGCACCTTCGAGCATTGATGAGAAGTGCCTGGCATGATGCCGCAGAAAAATGAGCGGCGCCGAAGGCTTTTGCCTTTGCCGCCTGCAGCACCTTTCTCTCTGCGTAGTCCTTGCAGGAGGTGTGCTTGCGAAGATGTTGCGCTCCGCTGGCAAAGGCACATGCAAAGGCCGGCCTGCAAAGACTCGCCCCTCTCGCTCCTGAGCACAAGATATACAGACAAGACTAATTAGCAGCTCAAATCGAATGCAGAAACACCTGCTTCTGTTGCAACTACATATTGCTGACGGAGCCTACGCAACCCCATCTCAAAACCCTCTCGCTGCCTTGCTCGTTGCACATCTGCTCCGTGCTTCACCAGAAGCCGAAACATGCGCAGGCTCCAGTTTCGCAAAGCGTAGAATGCCGGATGTGCTCCTTGTCGTCCGTTTGTACGCAGGTGAGTACTGCGAGTCCGACCCAAGAAACACAGCTTAGCCGGCGGCCGAATCCGTTGGGAATGTTCGGGTCTGCCCCTTCGTGGTCAGCGTGTTGTGTTGGCTACTGCCACTTGATGCAAGTCGTGAAAACCACTCCGTCGTTTTGAAATGCCCTTTGCCTAGCATCAGTAGCTGCTTGGCGGACTCCACCTTGCCCTGCGATGCAGCTGTGCACAAGGGAGTCCAACCAGCCTGCGCAGGAAGTGTTACTAAGAAAGGTGCGGAAACAAAGCACGGCACAGCACGGCAAGCAACAATAGACTGATTGGATGCCTTGCAGGTGTTTACGTCCATCTTTGATGCCCACAGCTGCTTCGGCGCGACTTCTGCCTCTGCTTGAGAAGCAACAGTTCGTGGATATTTAGCACACCCTGCTGGCACCCCAATGCTTCACATGACTCAGGCCGTTGCAGTCAAATCGACGGTTTGCAGGGAATGGTCTAGACTAGCTGATGTCATAGTTATCGTCGGCCCTCTGTGATGTCGAATTTCAGTCCTGATTCAGTGCGGATGGGGAAGAGAAGCTGGACATGAAGAAAGATATACCATGCGGGCTCTAGACTACAGCAACCTGGTGAACCTTGCCGAAGGCAAGTCCTAAGCTGACCAGGCCAGGCATCGGAACCAATATAGGGGGAGCTGCGGGAGCAGTAGAATTCAACGCGCTTGCGGGCGGCTTTGAGCTTGTAGCTTGCCCGCCATCTTCCGGCGGTGTCACACAGATTCGGTCGTCAACCTGGCTTGACTCAACTGACTTAGTATCACGGCGACTTCATACCACAGTCAGTCGGCCTTAAGTGCATTGATGCGGCATAACATGGGCAGCAGCAAAGGTCAACCCTCCTCGTAAAGGTCTTGTAGACGTTAGGTTTTCTGTCATGACAGCAGTGTCATGCAATGGCTCCCCTAACCCCGCCCCTGCGACTAGTAAGCCCTCACTCACGCAGTACTGATAAAGAAGGCCTCAGAAAGTAGCTCCTCAAGAGAAGCATCGAGTCTCTGTGAAACATTCCTATTCGACACAGCGCCAAACCATTCCATGATGGTTTTTGCAGCAGTCACGGTTGCTGTCGGAGCAGTATTGGGGTCAAGCAAACTCTGGGAGGCAAAGCTGAAAGAGCAGCATGCTGCGTTAAACCTGCAGCACAAGCTGTCCCACAGCGGCAGCTGTCATTTCAACAATCTAATCTAAACAACTGCAATTCGACCTCCAAGGATGGTGGGGGCAGCTTTTGGGCAGCACGCAAACCCTGTGACATGGTTGGCCAGGGCAAGATCGGACGGCTCAAAACTGACCATCAGCTGCCCGAAGCCATGCATATGGTTGTGACAAGTGGCAAGTGCTGAGCTCATGGGCTTTCGTTCATGGGATGTCCGGTGAGGTCGACGCTCCTCGGGCTCTTCGCTGGCGCCTCGAGCAGCGTTGCCATCCAGAGTCTCGAAGAAGCCAACCTTACATCAAGAGTCGACTATGCCGTGTTGGCATTATCCTTCTGCCTGAGCACCTTGCAACATGTGTTCCACTCCTACTTCAAGTTACTTGGCCTAGTCTGATGCAGCACTGCAGGCCAGGCAGCGTCGGAGTCAAAGAAGTATTTCATGTGAACTCGGTCTTGGCTAAAGGAGTACCAATCTCGAATTTCCCCTTTCCGCAGTGTATGCAGCCAGTCCTGAGCAAAGCACATCATGGCACAGGAACTCCATAGGGACTCCTACTCTCCAGTTGTCCTACCAGTTGTCCTTGTAGTTGTCGTTGTCGAGAATGCGGCAGTTTCTGTGGTAAGCACATTTTATCGTCATCTCGTCATCGGCACTCCTGCAGACTACTGGGCTTGCAGTTCTTGCCTTTGCCAAAGATCTTTGCAAAGTCTCCTCTGGTTGCCTCCAACTATTCTTGGAGTCACTTGGATAGATTCGCATTGGCTTCGAATGTCCTGTCAAATGTTTTTCCGCGTACACTGACACTAAGACCACCGAAACAAGGAATCTGCAGACTGCACGAAATCCAACTTGTCGACACACGCACTACGCACTCACCAGATCCTGAGGCACATCATTGACCATCTCATCACCATCCCAGGCGACCCAGCTTTGATAAATCACACCGATTATCTTGAAACCTCTCCTTGAGAGCTCTTTGACCTTCGATGGTTCATAGGATGTTCATAGGGCTCTGCTCACCGCACTCCATTCCGAAAATGCAGGCACATGTCGACTGAGTTGCGTGCTATGTTGTGATGTATTACAGACTGCGGCAAGCTTGACAGGAGATGTGAGCTCGTTAAACGGTTTCAGTCTGTCTTTTGATGCACACTTGATCACCAGCGCAGCCAAGAATCACAGCGACGGACACCTTCCCAATTATATTTTGGCTCCTTGTCCTGATTGAAGAGCATTCCGAAACTTGTGCCGACCTTAACATCAGCTCTTCTGTACTGGGACTTGTGTCTAGGACGTTGCATGCAGCTTTGTGAGGCAGAGACATTATTGAAGTTGACCACAACCAGCTTTAAGTTGTAGGGTCTCCCTTCGTTGTCCACGTCCGGCAACTTGTCAGGCAACACCTCGTGCGCAAAGTTGCCATGGCGCTTAGCAACGCATGTCGCAATAGTCGCAACAGTCGCAACCGACAGCGAAGAAGAAACAAATGATGGAGGAAACTTGCAGGAAGCTGCCTTGGAGCCCAGGGCAGGTTTTCTGCCCGTTTGCGGGCCACGCGGCTCGCCATGCTCGCGGTGCTCCATCTGCGGGTGCAGGCCTGCCGTTTGCGGATCCGGGCCCAACGAACATGCCAGAATCGGTGTCGCATGTCCGGCTGAGGGGAACTGAGAAAAGCAGTGTCAAGGCATGTCAAGACATGACAAGAGGCAAGACTCTTGGCTGAACTGCCTGGCAGGTTGTCTATATTGTACCCTCATCGAGAACGGGCCGTTCTTCTCTCGCGCTCTCTCCCACACCTACAGAACTCTCTCGTGCGTTGGATCCTGGGTTACCCTTGAAACAAAATACGCATCTGCCTTTGAGGGTTCCCACGCGCTCCCCCCCCCTTCCCCGAGACCCGCCCGGCAGCAATGACACCCAACCACGAGGCACGAATCGAAGACTCACACTGAAGTGGCCCAAGAGACCCCGGAAACCGCACCATGCCTAAACAGCAGTCATCAGCAGACAAGCATAGACCATATATACATACATCATGAAATCATGTTTCGCCGTTGGGAAGGGCAACGTAGCTGACCGAATGAGCGATGAAGGAGAGCAGCTCACCGGGCCTTGGTGGCCTGGGTGGCCTTGGTGGCTTTGGTGGCCTGGCCGTCTTCCAGGTCCCTGAGCAGGTCCTGCATGCTGGCGCTTCGCAGACTATGCAAGCAGCTTGTTGCGGCAGCTAACAAAAGAAACGACAACCTTGCAACATGCTCATGGCCGCAAGGCCTTCATCAGATGTTCTTTGCTGTGCAACCTGAGTGCCGCGCGCACCTGGAGCGTGAGCTGAGACACTTGAGATGCCATGCAGGGCAAAGAGAGGCCCAGATCATCGGGCGATCATACTGTTCACAAAATACTGTACATACCCGAATGATAAGACCTAGGACACTTTTCTATGCACTCGGTAGTTTGTAAACGCACGCGCAAGAGGACGCCAGAAGGTAATGACAGGCAGTGCAACAAGTGCTCAAGACAAGGAAAGCACATGAAAATAACCAGGAATGCAACAAACTGTTCAACAGTAACATGCAGGCCATAATCTCGACACTTCTTCAAGTCATCTTCTGCCAAGGTGCGCACAACAGATGCCAGTGCCGAAAATGTGCCATCTCTCTGGCCCAGCTGAGGGCCACGAGGCTGGCAGACTAAGCGGATGTCAGCTTTGATCGCCTGAGATGTCGGGGTTTCGGTGTTAGCATCATTAGCGGACCTTTGCTCACGATGTGCTCATAGCTTCCGGCCATGGCCTCAAGATCCCAGCCACGCCGGGTCCAGTAGTCCGCTGGGTTAGTTGCTGGGTCAATGGCTAGCAAGGCACCTTGCCAGAGAGCCGCAAACGACGAAAGGAAATGTCAAACAATAGAGCCCGAAAAGAAAAGGCTCAACCTGAACCTGACTGTGAAACTCCCGATATCTCTCAATGGAACAGGGGACTCAATTCTGCTGGATGAACTCTTGGCGGTGCATGCATGGCCATCGCTGACGTCACATCTCCATGCACAGGGTAGGTAGGCTGGGAAGGCTTGCACAGTGCACCGAGCAATCGCAACTCCATCGTAGTTTGACTTGTCACTTGGCCCGACTCACAGTGCCACTTTGCAGATCTTTGCAGAGATGTTCCCCCGAGCAGTATGTCCGAACGCTTTAAGTATGCAACAAGTATGACGGTTGACTTCTGACTTGGGTGTCGCTTGCAATACTTCGCAAGCAAGCTTCATGCGCTTCATGCGTGGCTTGCTGAGTGGCTGCAAGGCGATGCAGCATGCGACTGCCCTGTAGGTGAGGCAAAGCGCATGAGTCATGAGCAGCGAAGCTTTTGGTGGCCTGGCCAAGCTTGAGGATTCCTCTAGCGATGCTGGAGAGCAAGAACCTCAGCTCCTTGGTGGTGTCCTCCTGCGGAGACTGGAAAAAGCACTTCCCATGGTACTGCCCGAAACGAAAACGCATCTGCAATGCAACCCGTAGTCAACCTTCTTCGAAGGTGTGTGTTCCTTCAACAACAATGTATTGCAAGCCGACTTGATTCTGAGAGACAACTGGAACATCTCTTGAAAGCCCTACGGAAAAGAATGCATTCTTTCTGGGACCTCTGGACAATGCACTGTTGGGCGGCTTGCACCCTTCCTCCGCCAACGAGGTGATTTCTTCAATTCTGAGGTCGACAGGACTTGGAGAGTGGGGAGAGTCCGGTGTTTGTGGAGACACCTCTGCGATTCGTCTAAAGTAACGTACGATGCTACTTCTGAAGGTGCGGTTTTTAGGAGCCGAGTGTGAAAATCGCGAAGTACTTCAGCAACGCTCTCATGTTCGCATGGGAAGCTTCTCAGGAGTTTTGGAAACGGGCACGAAACCCTGATGTCAACTGACAAAGTGCACTCTGAATGATGTTGGCAACGGCAATGCTGTGCTTCAGAGATGAAGGGCCATGGACATAATGGTTCTGGACCTGGTGCAATCAAGACTTGGTTCTCCCCTGTACTAAAGGTTAACAGCTGATCCAGCAGCTCATAAGAAGACGTCCAGAACACGGGCTCCACTCCACCCCCGTGATTCTGCTTACTGATTGTTCCGTTCCTCTTGCGATTCCTCTCTGCATCTCGCTTCTTGTTACAACCTGGCCATGCTCTGCCAGTAAATGCCACTATTAACGGTGTTTGCTCAGCACCCTCCATTCAAGCTGTTTATGAAGCGGCCTGCTTGCGGAGATCCACCATGCGGAAATCAACCTTCCAAAAGAAGGTTCTGGCCAACATGCAAGAATGTTCGACCGGAACTCAGTTTGAACATATATCATAGTTGAACCTGTCATCACTGCACAAGCTGGCTCGGATCTAAACTCTCAAGGTTCTGGCCAAAGAAGATCGCACAGTGTGTGCGGCATCCTCTCAGATAGGTGAGCACATGACCCGCTTGCTCTTTCTTGGACTGCGAAAGTCTACATATTGCACCTTTGCTCTGTCGCGGGACAGCTGGTCCACCTGCAAGTTACACACTTGAGCTGTGGTTTTCATTCCTACAAGATTTTCTATGAAATACAAACCCTTCCGTGGAACCCTTCCGCGGCCCTTGCGCGAGTACTGTTTCTACTCGTCCGCTGCGTTTGCTTCCGTGGACGCTTCCGCGGACGCTTCCGCGGACTGATTGCGCGGACTGACTGCGCACAGTTTTGAAAGAGTTGCTTCCGCGAGCAGGTCCAAGAAGCGTGAGAAAGAACCGCCGCTCACTCGGTGAACGACAGATGCTGTCTATGAGCATTTGTCAGGCGAAGATACCATGGAGCTCATAGGCAGGTGCTAAGTACAGTGTTACAGCAGGCAACAGCTGCGACAACCAGATACAGCAAAGCTTGGAGTGGGGGGTGTTGAACAGCGCACACATGTGCTCACAGAGCCTTCGCTACACACTCGTCCAGAGAGTCGATCTGGGAGACCACAGAGTGAACCTTCGCTGGGTGCATGGTGCAGCGACCGCCCGTGGCACGGCTCATATGGCGGCCCGATGAAATGTCAACGCCTTCTCCGTGGACTTCTGAAGTTCTGCATTCACATAATCTCGGAGGCCGCTGAGGCTCTCGTCCGACGCCTGCGTGGCACAGAGATGCACAGCATTGGCGCGGCTAACATAAGCAGATGCTCGGAGCTTTCACTTCGCCTCGCCTTGGACATGTTTTCCAATGCGCTGTGAAACCGATCTTCGACAGCCTCACCTTTGGCCGGTTTGTGCGCACTTTAAGGATTCGACCACTGATCCGCAGTGACAGGATGCGTTGGCGCCATCCGCCCAAGTTTTCTAACGCCGGTCTACTCTCGGGTTTTGACGTGCCATGGCTGCCAGGTGTTCTCGCTGCTCCAGAGCCTTAGTTTAGTATCAGCGTTTATCTTGTCGAAGCCTGCAGGTGTCAGCGTCATTCAAGTATTCTGCACACCGGGACTCAGAGCAGGGCAGCATCCAACGACACCTTTAACTCCTGCCTCCAGTCCCACTGCTCCGAGCCTTGTTCATTACGTCTCAAGAGCAGTTGCTCTAGCCTACAGCTCTATGCAAGAAGACCGAGTTGTGTGTCTGACAGTGTTCCTGCGTTCCTCGACGCAAACAAAGCCCCCCGCCGCCGGGCACTAAGATGCACTAAGTTTTCTTGAGGGGAATGGGTTTCGTATGAGGGGATAGACCTACACAAAAGAGAGACGGCGAGAGAGATAGAAAGATGAAAGCGAGAGAGAGCGAGAGCGAGCGAGAGACAAAGAGAGAGAGAGAGAGAAAGACAAAGGGCGACATGCACGTGGTCACGGAAACTCAGAACTGAGCTCACTGGCTGCACTCATCTCGAACATCATGCGCTTTCAATGTGAGGTAAGACTTGCAGCCCAGTCCGACAAAAATGCGTCCTCTTTCTGAGTATACCATCAGAAATCAAACAAACAAATAACGCTTCGAACACTGAAGCCTCTTTGCTGACCAATAAGTGCCGGGCGAATGCAGGCTTCCACTTTGTAGGCAGCAGCGGCAGCAGCCTCCTGCTGTTTGAGATGCAAAGCTTGCAATGAAGCAAGACTTCATGCGGTGTGCCGCATATGAATTGTCCTCGAAATTCTGTGCTTGCGCAAACACGTCGAAGAATGCCCAGCTTGTTGGCATGAAAGCAAAGTCACAAATAAGAGAGCCTCTAAGCCTGTAAGCTCTGCACAAAGTTAGACAAATGTGCCTTTGGGAACCTCAGGTTTCTGTGTAGCTCTTGTGCCAGGCGGCCTCAGCCTCTGAGCAGTGTTTTGGCTACATGGGCCCGCACAAGTGAAGCTAGAAAACCCAACAGTTGCAGTTAGACTTCATCGGCTGTTACTCGGAACAGCCTATTTGCTCGCAGGGTGGTGGTTGCTGCCAAAGTTGCTGCAGCTGCAGCTGCAGCTTCCGGCAGCACGGGGATCAGGATGGTTTTGGGTTTGTTGTTTACACGATGGTCATCTTAATCGAGTTCCTGTGATTGCTACGTTGCTTACCCCTAGGGGAGATATACAGGAGAACGTGCACCTCGTCGAAAGCCGAACTCTACTCCGACGATATCGACTGGCCCATGGGAGCTCGCGAAAGGATCGAGCATTTTTTTGGATTAAGAGCCGCAGTCATCAAAGCACGAGAAAGGGCACACATAGCACTCATAGCACACAATAGATCATGATGCTGATGCAAGCTCTTCAGGATGTCAGTATAGAAGATGCCCTCCAAACCCGAGGGGAATGCCATCTCAAACAATGCCGAAGAGGGCTCAGATTGTTTAGGCAGGTCGAAGATGAAGAGACTGGAAGGTTTTAGGCCGTCGGGCCAAGGATGACAAAGTGCCAACCGAAGAGGCGGCTCGACCCGTTCAGGGTTTTGACTTACACTTGCACTATTGACCTGAACAGCGTGCCAAGTCGGCATGTGCAACCACGCTTGGCTTAATGCCGAAGGCATGGTTGAAGAAGCGAAGCACCCGATCCAGTCCCAAAGAAGTGTATAGCTTCTGAGCCCACTCCACTGAGACTCTTGAGAAGACAAAGAGGAACACAGTTCTCAACAGCAAGAAACTGAACAAAGCTTTCGCGTGGTTTGGTTACACAGCTATCAAAGTTGCTAAGGGGAGGCTGGAAAGTGAGAACACACAATGGAACCGACAAATCAGCCATCTTGACTGTTTTGATCCGCTTTGACTATCTGGCTTGGCTTGGGGTATTTTACGGGTACCCAAACGCCTCTGCCAGGTGCCGAAAATCGGTGCGGGCAGTCTCAAAGCTTCGTCCGAGGGCGGCGACCTGCGCCGCTCAGTTCAGGAGTTCAAGATCACGCAGTGTATTGGCCAGGCTCGAAGGAGTCCCGGCTTTTGTGGGGCAAGCCTCACGTCTGAGCAGCTCAGTTCGCTCTGATTGGCGCTGAAACGCTGCGACCTGCACAAACCCAGGCCGCGTGGCGGAAACTTTGCAGGTTGAACCGCCCAACTACGTCATAAGCCCACAGTGCTGCAAAACGACACATCCAAGACCTCCGCATGCATGGCAAACTTGGCGGCTGCAAGTGGGTCAGGTAGATGCGGCACCTCCTAACATGCACAGCAGCTGAAGTGGATCGCCGCCACTACAGAAGTCTACGAAATTGGCCAGAATTCGGTTGTGGCGCATACCTCCGTCGTGTCGCTCGCCAGAACTTCCTGAAAGGTCGGGGACCTGGCATGATGACGTGCATACAGGGATCGTTCCTGGGAGCACAAGCTGAGGCTGCCACGGAGCATCTGCACACCGCCCCGCGGAACTGGCAGTCGAACTCCCTGAACATTCATGCTTCTGGCGCTTCTGCACCCCGAAAATCACCTACGACTCCACCAATAAATTCTAAACCTACAGACCGGCTTGGATGTGGAGATTGGACCTCAGCCTTGGCAATTTCAAGCTTGCAAAAGTATGCACAAACAAAAGCACTCTTTGCCACGCTCAAAGTAGTCGAAGCAAACACCGGTAGAAATTCATTGAAGCTTGGGAGCTTTTTCTTTAGTGCGAAACAAGGTGCACCCGAAAAAACTATAACTACCAAACCAAGCCTGCCATATTTATGAACGGGCGGGGAGCATATGTGATCCCGGTTCTCGGTTCGCCAGCCGCCCCCCCCCCCCCCCCCCCCATGGTATGGTCCCCCCCCCCCCCAACCCCCTAAACCCCAAGCCCTAAACCCGAAACCCTAACCCTAAACTCTAAACCCTAAAACCCCAAAACCCAAACCCTAAAACCCCACAACCACACCACAGGCGGGGGGGGGGGGGGAACCCTAAACCCTAAACCGGTTTTGAGCACTGCTGCATCTTCCTATGGTTTCATCGGAAGAACGTTGGAACATGTTGGAGTGCCCTGGAGAATTCTGTAGTCGCCTGGGAGTTGGGATCATCGGCTTGACTACCAGGGTCCGGGCTCGAACGTCCGTTTTTAAAGGACCTCTGACCTTGGGTTGTTTGTGCGGGGAGCGAGAGAGAGGGGGGGGGGGGGAGTTGACTCGCTGGGGACCAGCTAGGGACCCTCTCAAAAGAAGCTTTATCTCTACATGCCTCCCTAAAGCCCTAAACCTGAACCCTAAAAGCCTCTGCACGCCGGGACGGGCGACGCGCAGCGATTTCAAATTACAGCCTTTTATGGGCCTTCTCGAGTACCGCGAGTACAAGATAAAGCTCCAGGCTGTGATCGGTAAGAAACAGAAACAGGGATTCGTACGATACCTACCCGAGCGCCTACCATATGCATCGTGGAGTGCAGGTGCAATGGCAACAGGTGCTCGGCCTTGTTCAGCGTCCGGCGATCCGTCCTCACTGTACGCGATTCCAAGACAGTCTAGGAACCGCTATCAAGAACAGGTTCGCCACTAATCACGCCGACCCTCATTTAAGCAGCTGATGTACCTGTAGTAGCTGACGGAGCATGTGTGTGCCTGCGTTGAGAGCCCTACTTCTTACAGGTTCGGTTTTTGGCCTGCAGCAATTGGAAGGCGCGAAGGAAGGATTCAAGCAAGACAGGTGGAAAGAGCTTGCAGACTCGTTGCAGATGATTGCAGAAGAACTGCGAAACTGCGGCCAGCAAGCATAAAGAAAAGAAGAAGCAGCGGCGGCGGCGACAGCAGCAGCAGCAGCAGCAGCAGCAGCAGCAGCAGCAGCAGCAGCAGCAGCAGCAGCAGCACCACAACGAAAAAGCTCTCGGCGGTTTTGCTGCTGCAAGGCTGGCAATGAAATACAAACAAGTGCAAACTGAAGCAGGGTTCAACTGGACGATTTGCTCGACAACTTGGTGGTGGCCGTCTACATATTTTGTCTGGTCTCAGCATAGTCAGCAAGAGTCCTGGCCGACAAGGTTCCTGAGCCTGTCCTCGATCCGTTCCAACACCTGCACAAGCCAGGAGACATCACTTGCTTCCGCCTCATCATCCTCCCCCTGCTGAAATTCGCCAAGGTTCCTCCCGGTTCTCTCTGCTGGACTCTCAGTTCATTTCGGTTGCCTGATCGGAAGCTTGCGGGGTCCAGATTCCCAACCTCGGCAAAGGCCGTGTCAGATGGTGAACCGCAGAACGTGCACGTGCTGCATGTTCTGCCGACGGTGGAGGGGCTGCGCCTTCCCCGAAGCTCGAAGGCCAAAGCTCGGACGGCGGCTGTCAGATCGACCTTTCAGAGCAGGAGTGCTCCAACTATTCTAGTTTAGAGTACTGCACACTGCATGGGAGCATGACAAAGCACGATCTCCACTGTGCCTGGCAGGTTCCTTGGACCTGAATGCGCTCTCTCACGTCATCCAGGCATACCTGCAACGCAAGGAGATACAAGCAGCAAGGCTAATGCTGCAGAACATTGCAGAACACAAGGGCGAAAGAAAGAAGCGTGGTCAAAGGGAATTCGGTCAAGGGGTCACAGTGCGTCTGATACTCCGCCGCCGATCAGACAAAGCCATGGCAAGCTCATTCTCCAGACGACTTGGTGAATTGACACAGTCAGCCCAAGGTCGTTGGGTGGAGATAGTTGCGAGATGCTTGCACTCACAATGCCGAGTCAGAGCGCTTCATAACTTGCGTAGATGGTCTGTACAGTGGTTGCTGAGCCGACATTTAGTGGGCCAAGATCGAGCTATCAGAATGGAAAAGGCCCGTCCATGTGCATCAGCCTCTCATCCAGGTCGCACCACGCAGTTCAAGACTCCAAAAAACTCGACATCAGAGCAGCTCAGGGTCCCCCACCCGATGTCAGAGGGTCTGTTTGTGGTCAGGATGCGGATGTCGTCCCCAAGAAGGGCCCAGAAGGTCAAGCAGACTGAAATGACGGTCATGTAGGGACCATCCATCTGGCATGTCAGCTTCTGGTGTTTATGAAGAGACATGACAGACATGACAGACATGACATGACAAGTGGTCTAAAGTCTAAGGCCACTTTGGCATGTCTGAGCGTGTGCAGACCAGGTCGGGACGGCAAAGTTGGCAACTGCTCGCCGGAACCGAGCCTGAGATCGAAATACCAACAGCCCTGCTCTTCAGTACACGGCCGTTCTTCCATCAGGCATAATGGCAGGCTTCTACCAAGTCGATGCACCTTTTGCTTCTTGTCCTCAGCTTCCTGTCTTCTCTTCGCCTTCTCTTCCTCAAGCACGTGAAGGCACATGCCGCCAACCGGTATTTCCAGCCAGGCATAAGCTGAACTCCTAGGGCTTAGACCAATGTTTTGCGAAGAAGCTCCATGTTAACGTCGGTGGAGATTCGCCGCCTTCAAGTGCCGGCATGGCTAAACTGGCTAAACTTCATGTAGTGCAAAACATGCATAAGACACAGCTCACGACGATTCAAAGAGCTACTGCACGACTCTCGAAGGCCTTGACATGCTTGCTGGAGGCGGTCCTCAGTGCAACATAAACTCGACAGAGGTTCTAGCAGATTCTAACGCTGCTCTAGCACTTTGAGTTTAAAAGCAGCAGCTGGAAATGCCAGCCGTGTGCACAAACTGCAAGCCCAGTTTTGGACGTTACCAGAAGCCTCAGAGCCAAGCCCACATCCTCTGCTTCAGATTTCCTGACATGCCCGTCAGCACATTGTGCAAGGACCGATGACAGAGCGCAACGTTGCTGCACCCGAAGTCGTCGACATCGGAGCTCGAGGAAGATGAGGAGGACTCTTCATCCTTCTGCTACGCTCGATGTTGCAAGTTACACTACGGTGTCACTACATCTGCCGCGGCAGATGCCAACATGCAAGTAGGCTGGAAAACTTTGCAAACAGACCCCAAGCAAACCAGCAGAGTCGGCGTGCTGGGACTGACATGGATGGAGCGTTCTTCCAGAATGATTTGTCCGCAGAATTGTTCTTGATGCAGTTGCATCCCTGGTCATGTCAAATAACAGACGAACCCCAACAGAGACAGTAAAGCTCCTCATCTGTGTCATTCGCTTTGCCCGTTTCCTGCCATTCACACAAAGCTGAACAATGACTGATGAATGTGGGACACCACATGACACCATACTCTATCTTCCAGTCCTTCTGGTCTGTCATTGCCAGGACAGCTCTACACGTGGCTCGAGTGATCTGTGCTGACCAAATGGAACTGCTGTGACTGCTTCAAGCCGCTCTTTTCCATGCTACACACCACTGCACCACTGCTGCACCACTGCTGCACCACTGCTGTACGACTACTGTACTACTGCTGTACTGCTGAGTCACTTGTGCAAACCTTGCGGTTTGGGAGTATTTGGAATTAAGACTACAACGGCGGAGCTGGTAGCTGCAGAAAGCAGGAAAGAGCATCCTCAACTCTCTAGGAGCATGTGCAGCCCCATCGTCAGAACCTCACTTTGCAGCTGCATGATTAGTGGCCCGCACCATACCTACTATCGACTGGAAAGATACAGAGGACCTCAGATGTCCACAGTCCACATCAGGTTGGAAAGGAAGCCTCCTCACAACCCGACGACGCACGGCGACCCATGGGAGGTGGGCGTGTAGGCTCGACCCGGCCAGCAAGCACGGGCCACAACGGGCTCGAATGTCGGCTCGAATGTGCGCCGGCACATTCGCCAAGTCAGTTTCCAAAATACAGGGCGCACACTCGGACTTAAAAAGCTGCAGCGTGCCTCAGCCATTGGTGTGACAGCCACAGGCTTGGATAGAGCGGCTGGTGCCAGAAAGCGTGGAAGAGGTGCAGTTCTGAATGGTTTAGCCCGTGCTGGCAAAGACTCGGAAGAACAAAGACCTCCAACTGCAGCTGGGTTGCAAGCGAGTGTGGGATGAAACTACATTATCCGAATACATGGCATTTCTCCCCGGCAAGCCCTTAAATTGAATTGCCTTAACTGGGCTACCTGTGCCTGAATCTCGCTCAGGGATTTTTGGGTCTGCCGATCTCCTTTGATGCTGGCAAGAAAGATGAGGACGGACTGAGCTCGGCATGCGTATCCGCGTGACTTTTGCTCTGGGGTTCTTGACTGAGAAATGACTATGCCCGTGTTGCTTGATGGAGATGAAGGAAGATGCAAGAAGCATCTTCTGGTGATGGTCGTGAACACACAGGTTGATTGGGTTCCTTGAACAAGCTGTGTGGCTAGCATGCGGACCTCGCAAGGCAACACGCCATTTTGCGCAGGACGTGTACTACAGTTGGTGTACTTCGGTCGTGAAAATCAACAGGAGCCCCAGGACATTGTACAGGGGCGACATTGATCAGCATCACACACTTTCACGCGCAAGCAGCTTCGGCTTGTGGGCTCAACTCGTTGAAAGGCTGTGGATACCTGGTGGCCTTCACCATGCGCTCATCACTCAGCAATAACAAGGCTTAAGGCACGCAAACCCCTGCGCTCAAGCCAATCGCACACTCTTTTGAGCATTTGCACTGGCATGTGCCATGCGCAGTCAGCGCTGTCCAAGCAGGTCATTGACAATAATCTCGCGAGCTACCATTGAAGCCTTGAAGGGAAAAGTCTGGAAGCTGAAAACGAGTGTTTTATAGTGTAGTGACAATCATCCTGCTAATTTGCTTTGCGGGGACGCATGCTGCCGCCAAGTCTTGCCATGGCATCCATGCGATGGCAAACCACGAACAGCCACAACAAACCCGCTGCAGACATCAGCTGAAATCACACAAGGGCCAAACGATGCTGAATTTGCCTCCTCAGCTTGGAAACTTGTGGACACAAAAGGGTCTACACGCATGCCTCCCGGCTAGCTTCGCTAGCAAAATAAAGGCTGATCTGTGTAGTGCCAGCAGAGATGAGGAAAGAGACAGGTACAGGGTGAGTAAATGAATGGCAGTGTGTGGCAAAAGCTTGGCTACACACATGGTACTGGCACGGTGGTTCATGATCCGTGCATGGCGTATCCGTGCAAGCTTCAAACAGAAAGCTGGATGCCGACGGTCATCGCAATGTATCCGCGAAGCCAAGCCTGCTAGCTTTGTTAGGCCAAAAGCAGATCAGCAGATTCAACAGCACGGCCTCCTTGAATCTTTGGGAGGACGAGGCGACCTTAAATACGTGATGTGTTCACGGACAACCCACCCCTCCCGCCCCCCAGGGTCTCCCCCCCCCCCCCACGTGGTTCATGGTGAGTTTTGTGTTTAGGGTTCCCCCCTTCCCCCTGTGGTTCATGGTTTGTGGTTCATGGTGGGTGTGTAGGGTTTGGGGTTTTCACTATGCCCTCCGTAGTTCATGGTGGGTCTAGAGTGTTTAGCGTAGGGCCTAAAGCGTGCAGGGTTCAGGGTTTAGTGCGTAGGCTGCGGATCTCCCCTCTCACCCCGTGGTTCGAGGTGGGTACACGGTTCAGGGGTTAAGCTTCAGGGTTAAGGCGGTAAAGGTTTCGGGTTTCCGCTTCCCTTCTGTGGATCATGGTGAGTTTAGGTTTTAGGGCTTAGGGTTCGGGTTGAGGGTTTCCCTCTCCCCCCCATTGGTTCGTGCTGGTTTTAGGGTTAAGTTAACGGTCAGGGTTTGGCGGGGAGTGTCGGGGAAAAAGGGGGGGTCGAAAACGTGGAGCACCGGCGGTTTACTGTTCTGCTCTTGCTGAAGCCTAGAAGAGAACTGCTTCCTTCCACGATCTGTGCTTGTTGTCTGCTGCAGCACCAGCCAAGCAGCAGAACGGAAGCGAAGAAATCACATAAACTGCATCGGCAAACAAAAGACGAGCTGCTGGCAGCGAAGGTAGCTGGTCAGCTGGCATAAACAGACAGCGCTGGACGTTTGACAAAACATCGGCTGAGCAAGAGACATCGACGTAGGCATTGCAATTGCCTGACACGCAGGAACTATTCCCAACACAAGGTGAGTGCGAAAGAGCACGGTGCAACCAGACATCCCAGCTCCCCCCTCCCAACCCCGGCCTGTTCCCAGATCTGGCCACTTGGTTGGCAAAACCTCGGCGCAGTTCTGTGAAAACTTCTGCACTCTAGCTGCAGCCATGGTCGTGTCGTATAAAGTGGTGCTGGCCATGCTGCATTTGCTTTCCCCATTCTAGAAGAAGAATTGCGAACGGCGGGCGCGCACGAATCCGCACAAATCGGCACAGCGCTGCGGGCATAGAAAAGGATGTGCCAACACCGTGGACATGGATCGGGGCCGCGCAGACCGGACGAGACTGGATTGTTGCTGGCATTTGGGGGGCGGGGGGAGGCGCAGTTTTAGAGAAGCTTGAGAGAGTGATGAAAAAGATAGATATAGGAAGGAGATTCACTCACACAAGCAGCATCACGCAAACACTATGCTGCAGGATGCTGAAGAAGCCGAGAACAACCTCTGCAGAAACAACGGGTCTTTGACCTGCTCCCCAGACGAAAGAGAGGAAAAACAAATCCCTGGAAGCTTTGACTTTGAGGGGAAGGCTCCAACATGCTCCAACATGCGCTTAAGTGCCTGGAGGTGCTAGGACCTTTCTGGGGCCCCAAACCTCAAGTCGGGGTTGCCGACTGTCACCAGCATCTTGGACGAGTTTGGGTACGACGACTGACAACTGACCAAAGAACATCGCTCATTGTTTCTTCCATCCTTCGACACGGTTCATGTCATGGCACTCTGTGTTGTAAAGCCCTCCCCCCCCCCCCCCCCCCCGTGAGCTGCTGATGATACCAAGGGCTGACAGTCTTCACTAGACATAGCAAGGATGAGTCGGATCAGGCCAGATATGTTCTCAACACATGCCAAGGCCAATCTCACCTGTGCAGTTCGCTCCATCTTGTTCTGCCTCATGATGAGTCCGGCACGGCATTTTATCCGTTCCCCTGAGCTCATCTGTATGCTTCTGCAAACGAAGAATGTGGCCTTGCAGGAATCACAGAAATCACAGAAATCACAAAGCAAGGCTTGGCTCAAGGCTTGGCTCAAGGCTTGGCTCATGGCTTGGCTCATGGCTTGGCCCAGTCTGAGTGGCCGACTCTCCAGCTGGGAATGGAGAGCGCTCACACCTCCACTCCCGAAGCACATCGCTATGCATCACTGGTAGTACAATAACAGGTGCACTGCTTGAAAGTCAATGGAGCCTACGAGCAGCTAGCTGAAGGCATGGGAGTGTTGCATGCATGTTACAGGACATCGGCGGTGCAGTGTTCGATGTTGCGCCTTCGGAGGAAGTCTTCCGCTGCTGCTGGAGCGTTTCGCGAAGCTGGTGATTTTCTTTCAAGACCTCACATGGTGGAACCGACAAATCCATGACTCCAACAAGCAACCCAGCCCTGATGTATTCAGATCTCCTCACGCGCAGTTGTTGCG